AATGTAACCTTATCTGTTAAAAAAGAATTGTTAAACTTCCAAAATCCTTTACCTTTTAGGAAGTCATTTATTTTCAAAGACATCACAACTTGAGAATGGTCTGATCTATAGCTGCTTTCATATTGAACACTACTAACAGAAGGGAGCAATGATTCAGAAATTAGAAAAAAATCTAACCTAGCCTGTTTTAAGGGTGTCTTTTTCCTCCATGAATAGCGTCTAACTTGAACATAATTTTCACGGAAAACATCTTTTAAATTCAAATTTTCCATTAAGTTCATAACTTCCATTCTCGCTTTTGGATTATTCAAGTTTTTATAGTTCATGGAATCTAATTCCTTATCCAAAACTAAATTAAAATCCCCTGCTATGATTATTTGTTGCAACATATACATCTTTTCAATCTCATTCATCAAATTAGAGTAGAAAACTGGTGTATCATAATTTGGCCCATAAATATTTGCAAGTAAAAAATTTGTACCCTCAATGGTACAGTCTATAATTATATAATTTCCGTTTTCATCACTCAAATGTTTGTGTATATCTATTTCGCAATTATTATTAAAAAGAATAGCAACACCACGCGAATTAGACTTATAAGAACTGAAGAAAGCCTGATAACCCCACTGTGTCTGGATGAATTTTTCGTCATTTTTAATGAAGTGTGTGTCTTGCAGAAAGTAAACATTATAGTTTTTTTTTCTTAACGTATTAAAAACATCTAATCTTTTGTTTTTATCTCCAAGACCCTGGCAATTCACTGTGAGTATATTTCGATGATTTTTCTTAACAGTATTCATATAAAAAAATCAAGAGGGAATTGAAAAAGTGCCCAAAGTAAAGAAAGGAGAAGAAAAGGGAAATAGAAACGTAGTAGAAAGATAAAGGTGCATATTTACAAAAAAAGTGAATTAAACTTGCCATCAGCCATTTGATTGCATCTACTGATGGAGAAAGGAATTTGTCAATCTGCATTTACCACTAAATAATACCCAAAACAAATACAATCGGAAATACAAATTGCTACATAATGAATGAGTAAGTCTGAGTAACTGATATTTTCCCAGAAAAAATTTTCAAGCTAGGGAAGAGTAATCCAACTTAGATAAGGATAGAAAAGGAAGGAAAAAAAATAAACAAATAATTATGAAAAAAGTTACTTTTGCATGTTACACAGAAACAGTATTTATATTGTGTTCGTCTGTTTAATTCTTAGTAACAGGTGCGACTCACAGCTTTGATAACAAGATCGTTCATAACGTCAAAGCGACGGGGACCCAAATGCCTACCATTTTTCCTCGAAATGACAACCGCTACATTTAATACATCTCTCTCAAGAAGTACCTTTAGCGTCCGGCCCCGTACTCCCCATTATCACAGTAACCGTCATGCACACGTCCTTGAGCATCTTTAAATCGGTACACTAAGATGTTGTGGTTGGCACAGGCATAGTTTGGATTGCGTAAAACATTTTTGCATACGTCTCTGACCTGTGCATATGTATGAATTTCGGAAATGAGTGAAGTAAAGATATTCCTGTCTTCTGTAACACTGTCACTTCTGTTAACATCACATTCTCCCAGTTTTTCAATTTCTTCTTTGTCCAGCATGAGTAGATCCTCAGCTCGTGGTGGTAGCACCTTGTCAAGATATACACTTCCATTTGGAAATACTAACTTATTTCCCACTATCTTTGTCTTTACATTTTCTTCTCGATACTTGTTGTTCATCTCCTGTAGCTTTTTTTTACTCTCATTTATTTGGAGGGGGTCTGAGGAGTTATGTAAAAAGGCATGTTATTAATGGTGCCATTTTCCCTCTTTTGTCTAATAGCCTGGAGGATGAGTTCTTTATCGTTGTAGTTCTGTAATTTCCCTGTTATTGACCTTGGTTTAGAATTACCGGGAAATTTCTGACCGTTTCGGTGTATTCTGATGAAGCCAACTTCCAGATTCAAATGCTCCTTGATCAAATCGCTAACTCTAGTTGTCAGATCTTCCTGGTCATCTTCCGCTAAATTATGTACAAGAATATTGTCCTCCATAGATCTTCCTTTGAGGTCCACTATTTCGTTCTCTTGCTGAGTGACTCTTCTGTCTAGGTTAACGACGATAGACTTTAAAACTTGGAGCTCTTTTCGCAAAAAACTGTTTTCTAATTTCAGCGTTTCAATTTCACCAACATTATCTTCATGTTGTTGGCCGATATATTTGATACGTTCATCTAACCCCTCGTTGTCCCAAAGATCTCGATTCATGTTATTAACTGATTGCTGTAGAATATTGATATTGTCCAATTTACCGGTGATTGACCGTAAGCAATCATGGATAGCTGACATTTGAATTGATGCTCCAGTGGTTCCCGATGCCAGGGTAGGATTACACTGTGATTTGTTCTCATCCTTGCTCAAGTCTTATAATACAACATTTATCTGTTACATGCACATGTATTAATTGCTTTTTTTTCTCTTTACGTTTTATAAAATCGGTCAGTTTTCTTGATTTTCATTTAGAACACTAATTGCTTGATGTCACTTAGGCTGTTTTTAAAATATGTTACATGTTGTCAAAACAAGTCAGTCCATTGTGTAAACTGTGTAAACAAATGAAAGAAAAAGTGAGCAAGCTCACATACCCCACGCTCCCCCAAAACTCGACAATGCAACACGTACTGCATGGCACAGTGCATTTTAAATACACAGTATAATTCAAAAAGGGGCATTACTTGCAAAAAATCATCACATCAAAACTTCTTGCATATAAGGACATTCAAATCTTTGTATGTTACAGATCTAATTGGGCTGAAGTTTCTAGATAAATAATGGAATCAACATTTCTTGGTTATATGCAAATCTATACATTATGTCTGAAATACCTACAAAGTTTCAGGAAATTCAGTGCAGGAGTTATGCTGACAAACTGTAATTTAAATTCCTCAGTGATTTCGATTTGTTAATGAGTGTAAGTCCATGTCCAACACATGACAATTTACACATTTAAATAATTGATGGAAACAAAATTATGATGTAGTCATATGAATTTGTTTATATACTGTACTTCTGAAATTATTTAAGGCAAAGCACCAATTTAAGGTGGTGGGGGGGGGGGGGGGGGGGGGGGGTGAGAACTATCCAAGATTCAAGATTTTGTGTGTGTGTTAAATCATTTATATTTTGATCTCAAAATCAATAGGGGTCTTTTAAGGTCAGAAAATATTTCACATAAAATGTCATTACAAAGGCTGACTCCAGTGGATTTCCTTATTACTGTACCTAGCTGGAAAGTTTCTTCAATAATAAGCAAAATTCTGAGGGCAAAAATAACGGAATCGGAATTTCCTGGTAATATGCACATCTACACACTGTGTCCTAAATATCTGCAAAGTTTGATGAAATTCTGTGCCCGGGTTTAGGAGGAGTTGCGCTGACAAAAAAACAGGACTGACGGACTGACTGACTGATGGACGGGTCAAAAACATTATACCCCCCGCAACTAGTTGCGTGGGGTATAATAAAGTGTAGATAACTTGTGCTTCATATGTGTATTACAGTAAAACTCAGTTATAGCGAAGTCCTAGGGACCTGTGAATTCACTTTGCTATATTCCTAATTTGTTTTATCTGTATAATGAATTCATTAAAGTATATACATGTATAACGAATTGGCAATATGCATTTTTTTCCTTCAAATATGACTATTAAATATGTACTGGGAGGTATTAAATACAAAATTTTCCTTAGATTACTTAAGATTTCTGATGAATTGAATTTCAAATATTAATACTGATGAAAAATAATGTCAGATAAATATCTGAATTTTAAGATACAGAAAATTTGTTATGAAAGATGTAATTTTCATTCTTTTTATCCTCTACAGGACATAAAACCAGTTCGCAGCTATATATAAAGTACTGGGGGCAAGTCTGAATTTTATTTCTTAAGAAAATATTTCACGAGAAATTCAACTTACCCACATACAAGGGGTCATTTTCCACTCTTCATTGCAATTTATACAAAATGGGATAAATTACATACAATCCCCCAGCAAAATTCAGTTAGAGTACGTATTTCTCTAGTAGATTCACACAGAAAATCTTCAATTAATCCTTATTATTCACTTGTGCCAGTCTAATGTATACACGATTTATAAATTCTCACTCTGTCTACAGACGCGTAAGGGGGAGCGTTTTACATTTTTTTTTTTTGTAATTATTTGAATACGTACATGTTAGACAAGAAAAAGGAATAACAATATTATACTGCAAATATTCACCATCATAACAGCCTTAAAACAACAATCCAGACACATAAATTAAACATCAACGTAAAAAAATTCTACATGTGATGTGAAAGGAATGTAAAAGTTATGACACTTTCCCCGTCATGTTTGATCAAATTTGCAGTGACTTGACGTCATATGCCATTATGACGTCATATCTAGGTAGTTCAGAGAAGTTACTGCAGCTGGTACACTGTGACATTCTTCGGACAGCCTTATCCTAGCCGCATTTGCTATATCCGCAAATTCGTTATATCAGAGTTCATTATAATCGTAATATTTTCATTGGATTTGTTAAGAATTTTGCCAAGGATTCCAAAAAACTTTGCTATTATTTGCGTGTTTGTATTATATGAGTTTTACTGTACTGGACAAACAACAACTTCAGAGCAACCATTATTAAAAACAGTACATTATCAATTCAATGGCCTGTAAAATTGCTTTAATTCAAGAGATGATTCAATACAAGGACTTCAAATTAACTGAGATTTTTAACAAAGAAATAGTAAAAACCTGGTCAGGGACTGATATTAAGTTCAATACCAGCGATGATTCAATACAAGTGAGTTCAATACAACTGGATAAAAGATGTATATAATTACTTGCATCCACAATTTGATTAAACCAGTCTTTTGTAAAATGTATCTAGTATCTATCATAATAAAACAGATATGTTATTTTCATAATTATTTTTTGAAATACTATATTCTTCCAGTCCACTTACATATCAATATCTCCATTTTGGAATTTGCGCAGAACTTTACTTCTGCGTGAGGCCTGCAGTTTAGATGTGATTTCTGCTACACTGATGTCTCCATACAGCCTCAGCAAGTGATACAACCTGACAAACATTTGTGTAGATATGTATATTTATTTATATACATTTAAATGTAAACCATTTCTTTTATATGAAGCTTCTGTCTATTTAAAAAAATGGACAATTACATGTACATATAAATCAGGGATGGGATAATCGTAATTGAGTAATCGTAATCGATTGTAATGATTACTTTTTTTCAAGTAATCGACAGTAATCTGTAATCGAAGAGATTTTCAATTACTTGTAATCATAATTAAATCGATTACAGCTGAAATTTTCAATGTAATTATAATTACTTTTTCGATTACTTTCGATTATTTTATTCATAAATGAATGTTATTTTGGAGAATTATTATTAATGTAAAGCATGTAAAATATGTACATTTTAATGTAAAGTCATACAACAAAAAAATAATTTCCATTGATAGTGTAAATAAATAAATTCATGTATTTACATACTTGTATCTGGTAGGTCGATCACATATTAAGTATATTTTTCAGACATAATGTCTTTTTTCTTTGACTTATCAGCTGAATGACAAGAAATATAGCCCTGACATGATTGTCAGGATTAAAATCTGGACCCCCTGACTTCTAGACAGGTGCTCCACCAACTATCTGGCTACGGTCATCAAACCTGCCTGACCACCACTCATTACGAAGGAGATTTTTATTGATCTGAGAGAGAAGGGTGTACCAAGTGTGTATCAGCTGTTACACTCACCTGTGATCTGAGAGAGTAGGGTATGCCAAGTGTGTATCAACTGTTAGACTCACCTGTGATCTGAGAGAGTAGGGTGTACTCAGTGTATATCAACTTTTAGACTCACCTGTGATCTGAGAGAGTAGGGTGTACTCAGTGTGTATCAGCTGTTGCACTCACCTGTGATCTGAGAGAGTAGGGTGTACCAAGTGTGGATCAGCTGTTAGACTCAACTGTGATCTGAGAGAGTAGGGTATACAAGTGTGTATCAGCTGTTACACTCACCTGTGATCTGAGAGAGTAGGGTGTACCAAGTGTGGATCAGCTGTTAGACTCACCTGTGATCTGAGAGAGTAGGGTGTACCAAGTGTGGATCAGCTGTTACACTCACCTGTGATCTGAGAGAGCAGGGTGTACCAAGTGTGGATCAGCTGTAACACTCACCTGTGATTTGAGAGAGTAGGGTATAACTGAGTTTGGTTGAGCTCTTTCACTCACCTGTGAGTTGACTCCACACTGTTGGTAAAACAGAGGATGTGTCTGTATTTGAGATTGTGTAAGAAGTGAAGTATTGCTAATGGCTTCTCTGTTGCTTCTACCTTGACTGTGTATTCCTGTTAATAAATTTAAAAGATTAGTTATAGTGGAACTTCGTAGCAAAAAACTTAGTGGCACTGACCAGGAAAAGGTCTAAGAAAAGTTAGAAGGTCTGTTTATTGGTTTAATTGGTTGAAATAATTTAACAGTTGATTTTTTGTTTTAGCTCATATGAGTTGAAAACTTTTCTTTCTGCTAAAAGCTAATTATCTTTTCTGATTAAAGTTTCAGATGTCTGTTTGCTTATTCTTTACATTTTCAACTTCTCAAGAACCACTGTGCCACTTTCAGAATTTGCCAAAAAGCATCTTTGGAAAAGGTTAAATTTAATTTTGTTAAATTGGTAGGGTACATCCTCTTTTAAAGAGAGATAATCCACTGAGTCAGAAAAGACAAATCTTTTTCTTCAAATCATGCAGGTTCCTTGGGCTAGGGTGAGGCCAAATTAAACAAGGGAGTAAAAAGGGATAATCTTTAAATATATTTTCTTTTTAATAGAGAATAGCAAGACCAAAACTGACATGTATAGATAATATTAGATATGCAAGAATCTTTATGAAGTGTAACTTTGACTCTTTCTTTTTATCAAATCATGACACTCGGGGCTACGGTGGGCAAAAATAGGATGTAAATTTTACATTTGATATATAAAGTAGAAAAAAACTAAAAACCTTAAATTAACAGTATATATGAGGGGGGCAAATTGAAAATTTCTGAGAATGATTTGATAAAATATAATCATTTGATGGAAGCTGAAGGATTTAATATCATTGAAAAGAGCAGAAAAAATACATTACAAAATATATTGTGAGGTCACTTTTTATATGCCCCCCCCCCCCCATATCAAATACATTTGAAAACTCTAACCTTGGCCTTGAACTGCCATACGCGGGCATCAGTATTTCACAAACAAATCTTTTTTTTTTTTTGCTAAAATACCTCCAAAAGTGATGTCAGAATCCCTTGTGCTAAGTACACTGGAAAATCACACTTTTGCCTACATGAGACCAAAGGGCATCTTTGAAAAGACTTTTCTAAAAAAAATTTGCATGGAGCTACATTAAGACTATAAGAATAGTACTGTAAACCAGCAGTTCCATCTTTCATTTTTAATAACCAGGGTTTATGACCATTTGCATTATCATATACATTCATAGGAAATTTTTATTCATATGGTATGGATGCACTTTCAATCTATTATACATGTACAACTCTCTACTGTATTAAACGAAACATCTCTTGCATAATACTGACAGGTAATAACATGTTGCTTTACAAAAAAACTTGTGTAACAGGGCTTATTCCGTTTAAAAATAAAACATACAAAAGTCCTCACCAGACTTGTTTTTGTGTGAAAAGGACAATGACAATTCAAGCAAGTACATCAGAACTATGACTCTTTTCATTATTTTATTTTCTTTTTACTATGACACTTTTTATTATAATAGAGAAAACTGAAAGTGAACAGCTGTGAAAATTCTATTATTTTCAATCTTTTGACAAAGAAAAATAGAAATTGGAGGAATAAATAGAGAAATCAAAAAGTGTATTTTAGATGCTCAAACTGTAAGCCTTACACAAAATCATAAGGGTTGGCAGCTCTGGTTATGTCGTTTTTATGGTGAGCATGCTGATGTCATTTTCGGAGTTATTGTGTTACAAAAAATAAAAAGTGATGTTGCAATATGTGCCTTTTTTCCTGTTCTTTTCATTGATATCAAAACCGCATTAACTTCTGTTAAATGGTTAATATTTTATCAAACAATTCTCAGATCTTTTCAAATCCTCACGTAAAATGCCTTCATTAAGTAGATATGTTCAAATTATAATCTCCAAATTGCAAAGGAACAATGTAATAAAAATATCTACAGTCTACGACTAGGGGACCAACTCAAAATTCATTAATATTGAATCCATAGATGATTAAAAACTAAACACTGCCTATCTCACAAGCAGTTTTAAAAAGAAAAGGAAAGTTATGTGAACTTATACTGTACGTGTACATAAATTGGCGTATTCAAAATTTAGCGCAATCACTGGGTATGGAGTTGTTGACGTAATCATGAATTAGCGCTCCTTATGTCCAGGCCACGTATTGTATATATAAATGATTTCTTAGCGGTATTCATAAATTAGCGCATCGTTGTCTGCCTCAAAGCCGCTAAAATATGAAGCCCGCTTTTTTACAGTACACATGCAGTAATTGCTTCAAAAAAAAAAAAAAATGAAATGCAATGAATTGCTTGATATGTGCCTTCCGGGAATAAGAAAACACCCAATTTTTACTTTCATATTCAGATATTTCTTGAGCATTTGTATTTCACCAGAAAATGTTAGTGTCTGACACAACAATACCAGCTCTTAACCATTGAGTGATTTCTAATGACGATAGCTCGTAACCATTGAGTGATTTCTACAAACTTTCATTTCAGGTGTGCCTTTTCTTTCAAGGAAAACAAGAGGAAAATTCATGCGAAAAAAAACAAGTTTAATATTATTGCTTTTGTGAATGTAGATAAAAATAGAGATTTTCTGACCTTTAATCCAATTGGAGTTGTGTATTTTCCTACAAAATGACCCTTGACCTCTTTTCCTGTATCATTCAATCTGTCGTGAATTCCTTCCACAACCTCAGCTCTTGTTTCTGTCGATAAGTTTGAATGAGGAGTACTATCCACCACTGACGTAAACAGTCGCGGTTGGAAAAGATTCAACTGTTGAAGTTTTTCTGGATTCTGTGATAGTGTGGCAGAAAACAGCAGTTTCTGGAGCTGAAATAAAATAAAACATAAGCAGGTAGCTCCTTGATACTAATGCATAAAAGTAACCAGTATACAAGAAATATTTTTTTTTGTAACCATGGCAATCTTGTTCATTAATCTTTAAAACTAAAATCCACTCTGACCTTGACCTTAAAAATGACTGTGTCAAGGTTAATGATCAGATTTTGCTTGTAAGTAAAATTTATCTTAATTTATAAGTAAGCTTGAGCCTAGAAATACATTTGAGATAACTTAACAATGTCATGGCTGAACTTTGCTTTGATGGCAGCAGTGATAATAAGCTGTCAGTTCATCTTAAGGTTTTTGATAATTCCCTACTTACTGGCATTTGATGTTTACTGGTGCTGCAAAAGAAAAATACAATCAATATATGAAACTCAAAATGTGATCCCACAAAATAACAGAGATCTTTACACAGAATTAAAATGGTCCTATTTGCATATGATGCCTGTAACCAAATTTTTAAAGATTTTTTTCCCAACATTTTATATACATTGTACATGTAATTATTCAATTATTTAACTCAAACTTTGACCCCTTTATTGTTTTGTTTTTACATCAAATGATAGTAACCATATGCCCTTGGGAAAAATAAAACAGCTAAACAACCACTATAGAATCGAAGTAATTAAACCATCACATTAAATATCCTCTGTATAAATAGGAAATATACATGGTATATGAGAATTTGCTCGCTTTTCCCCAAAACAAGGTAAGATTAAGTTGAACTGACTTGTAGACATTGAGGGAACTTGATGCCTCTCTACCCCCTATAAACGCAGCATTCTCTACATGACTTAACCAGTCCTGTTTCACATGCTCCATGATTCTGTCTGCTTCATCAATAACCTATAAATAGAAATTAATATGTCTGCTACATCAATAACATATAAATTATGCCCTGTTCACACGGAGAATTTAATTCGCAGTAAATTAATGTGGAGTAAAATAATGTGAATTAAACTAATGCGAATTAAATTGCGTTCACATGACAGCTAATGCGAAGTAAACTAATGCGAATTAAATTTTATTTCAACAGTAAGGCTATTCAGTAATGCTATATGACGTAATTTGCAAATTATGTCACACTGTGCAAAGCAGATCCATTTGACATAGTCATTGTGTCTGTACACATTTTAGTGATTAACATAATATTTCTTGTTTTTCACTTAAAAATAGCATAAGTACCTATATCTAACCACCAACATATCGCATGTGACTTAATTTTGTCATTATGCATGTGTTAAAATTTAATTAAAATTAGCTTTGCTCAGCAGAGCTAATGCGTAGTAATTAAATGAGCAGTACATTAATTCCAATTAAACTAATTTGCATTAAATTCCCTGTGTGAACACGGTTCAGATTTAATTCGCAGTAAATTAATATATTTAATTAGAATTAAACTCTCTGTGTGAACAGGGCATTAATAAATCATGCATGTATGCTTCAGCAATAACCTGTCAATAGAAACATGTCTGCTTAATCAGTGAACCAATCACTAGTAATGTACACTAATTTCTCCTCTTCAAAATAGTTCACAAAGCCTGAAGGTGACATGGAGATAAATAATTAGTTAACACAAGCATGAAGGTGATATGGAGATATATAATTAGTTAACACAAGCGTGAAGGTGATATGGAGATATATAATTAGTTAACGCACACATGAAGATGATATGGAGATATATAATTAGTTAACACAAGCATGAAGGTGAGATGGAGATATATATTTAGTTAACACAAGTGTGAAGGTGATATGGAGATATATAATAAGTTAACAAAACGTGAAGGTGATATGGAGATATATTACAGGTAAACTTCGATATCTCGAACTTGGCGGTACTGAGGAAAAACTTCCGAGATATCCGAGTGTTGAAGATATCGAAGTTGATGAATTTGGTACCAATATTGCAATGTTTCATGTTCTATTAACAGGGAATAAACCCCCCCCCCTCCACTCACATGCATAATTTATGTGGTAAAGGTTTCAGTTCATATTTAGTAATTATCTTTTTAAAAATACGTTTGCATATACTTATAATGCATATATTATTTTATTTAATACTGCAACACTTACATTTTACAAATTTCGATCGCTTTCATAGCGATAATTGTCATCTCTCTCGAGAGATGACACATTAAGTTTGTAACCCCGGATATGAAGCCCCAGTGTAAGCTGCCATTGATAATCTGGTGGTCTGGCAAATGACACGATTTCTAAATATAGAGATGTAAACAAAACTGCTCAATGACAAAGAATGGACGATCTGTCAAACAGGCCATCTTAAAAAAGAAAAACTACACATAAATCAGAGAGTCATACTATGGCATGTCAAACGTTGCAATATTCGATCTTTTCCATTTGTATTGCATAATTTTCCATTTATATTCTATAATTCTCCATTTATATTCTATAATTTTCCATTTGTATTGTATAATGTTTATTTGTATTCTTTAATTTTCCATTTGTATTCTATAATTTTTCATTTGTATTGTAAAATTTTTATTTGTATTCTATAATATTTCATTTGTATTGTATATTTTTTCATTTGTATTGTATAATTTTTATTTGCATTGTATAATTTTCCATTTGTATTCAATAATTTTTCATTTATGTTGTATAGTTTTTCATTTGTATTGTATAATTTTTATTTGTATTCTATAATTTTCCATTTGTATTCTATAATTTTCCATTTGTATTGTATAATTTTCCATTTGTATTCTATAAATTTCCATTTTGTATTCTATAATTTTACAATACAAATGAGAAATTATACAATACAAATGGAAAATTATACAATACAAATGGAAAATTATACAATATAAATAAAAATTATACAATACAAAGGAAAAATTAAAGAATACAAATTGAAAATTATACAATACAAATAAAGATTATACAATGGAAATAAAAAATTATACAATACAAATAAAAAATTATACAATACAAATGAAGAATTATAGAATACCAATGAAAAATATAGAATACAAATAAAAATTTTACAATGCAAATGAAAAATTATAGAATACAAATGAAAAATTATAGAATACAAATGAAAAATTATAGAATACAAATGGAAACTTTTACAATACAAATGGAAAATTATACAATACAAATAGAAAATTATACAATACAAATGGAAAAGATCGAATATTGCAACATTTGACATGCCATACAGAGACAATATCGCTTGGGTAGTGGTGGGTCTTCAAAATACATGCAGTTATCTAATCATGGTCAGCGCGTGTGTATCAGAATGCACTAAACATGACATCGATTAGAACGGCCAAGGCGTGGATCAAAGTATTTACAGAAAAACAAAGTGGCGGGTCTTCAAATAACATGCAGTTATCTAGGCTGTTACGTACGGTAAATGATGGCCAGTGCGTGTGTATCAAAGTACACTTTACATGGCATCGATTAGATCAGCCAAGGCGTGGATCTAAGAATTTACAGAAAAACAAATCAAAGTAAATACTCGCATTAAAAGCTAAGTTTAAATACGATGTGAACTTATGTCGAAAATTTTACTTTTATGTGTATCTTAGTCATTCAATAACCTGATGCCATTTTTAAAATATTTTTTTTAAAACAAATAGTTAATGTTAAAACTACAGGCATTGGAAGAAAGATTATATAATCATTGTGAATTTTTACGCATGTCTGCACTATTCTTTGTTTTTTGCTCTATAAAAAATAAATGTCAGAAATACAATATTGTTACCTTTGTATAAAAGACGCAATTTCTTTACCCGACTCGTATTTTGAGAATTTATAATTATAGCATCTGCAATCATTTTCTTTGTGTAATTTTAAATTGCATTATTGGTTAGTGGCAAAAAAGCTATCAAGTCACTTCTCTTATTCTTGAAATATTATTATATAAAATGATTGTTTCCTTGAACAGCCTAATTAAATATCAGGGTTGGTAAATTGGTACTCTTTCAGATAATTTGTAAATGCCTAAGAGCAAGAGCCACTTAGGGCCTTTTTTGGCCCTGAGAATTTCTGAAAAATCGAAACTGCTCAGTTTTGGTTGAAAATGCAGTATTTATAACTTAGACCCTTGGTGGCCGGGTATCTATTGAACATGACGTAATTTTCTCTCTAGTCAATGCATTATGACGTCATAAAATGCGTCATTTTCCCCATATCCTGTAAATTCCCTTAAAAATGACCAAAAGTTGACATATTTTTTCAATATTTCACATAGAGCACAACCTCTGATCCAAAATATGCAATTACATAACTAAAGATCTGTTTCTGAAGATCACAAAACATGTTTTAATTTTTGGATCGTGGGCTGTGCTCATATTTTAATTCTTTGCTGAAGGCAGTCAAATACACATGTTTTCTGCAAAATTCAAGAACATTGCATTTTCTTAAAGCCTCTTTTCCAATGCTTGGATTCTCAAAAAGAAATTTTGTTATTGGAAATGAAAGCACCAAGTCTCTACTTTATTTTGATATATGAAATGGGACAGAGGGTGATAGTCAATTAATTGATATAAGGACAGGGCCACTTTATGCATAAAGTGAACCTAGCTCTTTTAGCTTATACCGTGTAAATTTTATTACTGACCTATATTTAGATGCATGTGAGGGTTATTTCATTGGATAAACCATATATTTAAAAGTGGAAAATCTTTCGAAATCAATTGAGGGTCAGTGTCGTATAGTGAGACTTCCCCATAGTGAGATTTCCCCGGAAGACTGGTTATATAGTGAGATATACCCCGGGAAGACTGGCTATATAGTGAGACTTCCCCCCGGAAGATCGACTGGCAATAGAGTGAGACTTCTCCCGGGGAAGTCTCACTATATAGCCAGTCTCTGCCCCCTTTCATAGTGAGACTTCCCCTCAAATGTAGTTTCTGGAATATTTTATTTCATTGTAAAACAATATTTTTCAGTATATGAATAAAAGCTCTCCGTTAATTAATAATTAAAACATTTTAATAGCCTTTTAACAGTTTGTTAGCCAAAAATAATTATGGGATGACATGTACATGTATATTGATGTGAGATAACTGAATGAAAAATGTACGTTATTGTTACAAGTATACATCTTTCTTTTCTATATTGTATTTATTGCATTCCCCATGAAGGTTAACATAAGCAAATTCCAAGAGTCCACGAGTAATGATCTATTAAATGTTAAATGTATTTCTTTTGATAAGAATCATTTTGGAACAATTCAATTATTTACTGTGCTCGATAAATTTTTAATGCGCACTTCTATATTTATTCATACATGTATCTATTTTATAAGATCATTATCAAAATGCAAATATATATACATCGTCGATGTAAATAAAATACTACTGAACATGGAAGGGGGAAGCCTCACTATGGTCGTTTAGGGGGGAAGACTCACTATATAGTAATTCCCCCCCCCCCCCAATCGGGGAGTCTTACCGCTATATATAGCCATATTCCGGGGGAAGTCTCACTATGGGGGTGGGAGTCTCACTATATGACACCGTACTTATTCAAGTTAGCGCATTAAACTTCTTGGCTGTTGTCCGAGTAAGCTGCTGTGATGTAAAGTCAATAAGAACGCTAAGGTTTTACCCATCCTCTTGTATAACAATTGTTCAATTGTTTACAAATTTTACGAATACTGCTCAGTGGTTACATTTTTTAAACACATATACAAAAAATATTTGAAATTACTGTTGCAAATATTTACTGAAAGGCAGCTTGCCTCTACCTTCCCCACATTTTTTTGTTGCAGCATATTCATACATGTACTCCCCCCCCCCCCCCCCCCCCAAATGTGTTTTCGAGAGAGTAAAAAAGTTTAAATCTTCCCTCCGATCCACGAAATAAGAATTTCGAGTTTGAACACCCCCTTTTTTCCTAGTGAAAGATTATTCAGGTAAGTTGTAATTTTTTTTTCTGACTACCCCCCCCCCTTTTTGAAAAAAAGTTCTGCTTGTAATCGCTGAGGAAAAAAATGTTAAATTCCACTGTTTATTCTGTGCCCCCCCCCCCCCTTTTGAAAAAAAAGTTCCTCTGTCTGTAATAGCTGAGGAAAAAATGTTACATTCCACTGTTTATTCTGTGCCCCCCCCCCCCTTTTGAAAAAAAGTTCTTCTGCTTGTAATCGCTGAGGAAAAAATGTTACATTCCACTGTTTATTCTGTGCCCCCCCCCCCCTTTGAAAAAAAGTTCTTCTGTCTGTAATAGCTGAGGAAAAAATGTTACATTCCACTGTTTATTATGTGACATAAATGAAGCCAAAGAGATGACATTTCAGGCTTTCTGGAAAGCCAGACTTGTCATGCTTGTTTCAGGATTTTTGACACCCGGATATGTGTTACGCTTTGTAAATGATAAACCGATCACTGTAATAAGGATTAAGATGGAACAGGAATTATCGTTCTACAATAATTTATTGAAATTGCCAATAAACAAAAGCACTATAATTTATAATATTCAGATAAAAGCATGATTATAATTCTGTACCTTTTTCGACTTCTGTAATAGCCTGAAACTTTGTTTCGATTGTATGAACTTTGTTTTCTTTTTACACCACAGTGACTGTCATTTAATCTAACTATCCCCCCCTCCCCCGGGTTGGCTACCGAGTCCTTCGTTAGATTGCTTATCAGACATGTGATGTGTAATGAAGATTTAGATTTTTGGTACTGACTTTTATACTCAAAATGATTAATTTCTTGATTTCAATATCACTTTGATGTGTTCAGTGTTTACTTTGTTATGTAATAATGTGTATCACAAATCACCTGACCTGCATAATTAAATTAAACTACCAAAAACAACAGCTAAAACAACAGCTTGTGGCTAATAAGGTGTGATTATCGGCGATGGTCCAACGAAGCCTGTGCTAGTCCTAACGGAAACGATCAACAGACCGTAAAATTAGCATAATGGGATCATTGTGTTCTAAGGTGTGAATTAAGCAGAGCAAGAAATTAATTGGACTTCGAGATAACGCATGTGTTTATAGCACTTGGGACCGTAGTCAACTTCAAGATAAGCGAGGTATTCGAGATTTCCATGTTCAAGATACCGGTGTTTTTTAAAATCATAAATATAGTAAAAACGGCGGGGACCATTGATTCACTTAGAGATATCCGTGGTATTCGAAATATCGGTGTTCGAGATACCGAAGTTTACCTGTATACAGTTAAAGTATATCATTGAGGGAGTTATCAAGATTCGGGTTCCCCAAGGCCAGGTCAATTTCCCAAGGAAAAGCCAAGGGAAAGAGTCTTAGTCAAGGGGAACTGAAATCTTGTTAACTCCCTCAATGATATACCTTTTTAACTGTTTTATTACATGTATACCAAAAACAAAAGTAAAAATTTAGGGGATTATGGATAACTGGAAATTAGCTTTCAGAGCTGGGATTAGCTCACTTGACCAACACATGGGGATTAGTCCATAAACATATCTAGAGGATAAAGGATACCTGGGAATTAGCTTAAGAAGTAGGGATTTACTCATTTAACAAATGCAGGGGGATTAGTCTATTGACAGTGATTTTTATGAAATTATTCACATTTAATGATCTAATTTTTATATAGGGAAAAACCAGTAAAGGTATAATAAAATTATATATTGTAGTTAACACAAGTCTGAAGGTGATAGTCAAATTTTGAATTTCAAAACTATCCTTTTCTTTGGTGTTCACATTCCAAATAAAAATATATCCTACATCCACAGTTTACTAAATGAAATGCACCACTGGGGAACATGATATTCTTCAATACATAAAGCCATAAAATATTCCAAAATGAGGCCATGTTGACCACTTTTGGTCAACCCCCCCCCCTCCCCTCCTCTTAAAAGATGCAGCAACTGACATGGTTCAATGGTCCTTGGCCTCAAGGTGTGTAAGATCTGACCCAGACAAAAAACTGCTAACAGACAGTCAGACAAGAAACTCATACCATAATGATGATAATATGACCTGTTAAAATAAAATGGGATAGCAAGACAATTTCCCTGCTGAACCATCAACTTCATGTTGAAGATCAATGATATGTGGATTTATGAACTTTTGATTATTCTACATGTAGATAGAAAATACAAAAGGCCCATGGTCCTTAATGACCAACTGAGTGTCATAAATTTTATTTTCTGGGCCACATTGTATGAGTTTGCTTTTTTTACTTCTTTATGCTTTTGTAAAACTTGAAACCCATAGAGTATGGCCACGTGATCAAAAAAGCAATAATGTCAACACCTCATGAAATATTTTTCATAATACTTTGACAATTTTAGCCATGTTCTTCTTTACAAGATTTTTTTCTTAGATTTCCCTTCTAATTCAAAAAGCATACACCCAAAATAAAAATCTGGACAACTTTCTTCATCCAATCCTGCCCTCCATCCATACATCGCATTTTGAATCCACATTTCAAGAGCATCCTTGCAAATGAATTGTATACATGATTTTCATCATAATATGAAAAGAACATTTTTTGCACCCTCCATCCCCTTATTTTGTTAGCATAGAGAACAATGCAATAGTTTAAATTCAACAATTTTGGTTATACCTGGTTTGAAATTATGATTTATACTCAATGAAAGAACAAAAATCACTGCAAGATTGAGAATTTGATAAGTGTTCCCTTTACAAATTCACTGGGAGGTATGAGGTATAATAATACATACCAGAAACCTGAGATCTGAAAGACTGAATCCTGGAGTATTGTTGATGTGGTCCACAAGGCGTCCAGGAGTAGCCACCACTATATCAACTTTACTCTCATATCCCCCGAGCCTGCAAGAAAAAGATCTCTTATTGTTGTTGTATCAAACACAAAACTGAACCCTCCCATCTCAATTCTACAAGGGGAAATCACTTCTACACTAATATGCATCAAACACAAAATTCTACCCTTCAACCTAAAGAAGGAGATTGCTCCAATGCTAATATTACATTAAAAAATTATACCCTTCCACTCCAAGTTTACAAGGTGGAGATTGCTCCAACATTGAAATTACAAAATAAATTAAAATAACACCCTTTCTCCCCCAGCCCCCACTCAAGTCTGCAAGGGGAGATCACTCCTAATAGTATGAAGATTTACATCAAAGGCATAATTACACTCTAATGCCAAGTCTGCAGGGGGAGATCACTTCAACACTGAAATTTCACCATATATAAAATACTACCTCCCACTCATCTCTGTTTCTGCAAGGGGGAGATCACTCCTATACTGAAATTTACAACATAAGACCCACCCTCCAAATCTGCAAGGGGAAGATCACTCTTATACTGAAATTACACTTCCAAATCTGCAAGGGGGAGATCACTCTTATACTGAAATTTACACTATAAGACCCATACGCCAAGTCTGCAAGGGGGAGATCACTCTTATACTGAAATTTACACTATAAGACCTGTCCTCCAAGTCTGCGAGGGGGAGATCACTCCTATACTGAAATTTACACTATAAGACCTGCCCACCAAATCTGCAAGGGGGAGATCACTCCTATACTGAAATTAAACTATAAGATCCGCCCTCCAAGTCTACAAGGGGGAGATAATTCCTATACTAAATTACACTATAAGACCCATCCTCCAAGTCTGCAAAGGGAAAATCACTGAAATAACACTATAAGACCTGCCCTCCAAGTCTGCAAGGGGGAGATCACTCCTATACTGAAATTACACTATAAGACCCATACGCCAAGTCTGCAAGGGGGAGATCACTCCTATACTGAAATTTACACTATAAGACCCATACGCCAAGTCTGCAAGGGGGAGATCACTCCTATACTGAAATTACACTATAAGACCCATAAGCCAAGTCTGCAAGGGGGAGATCACTCCTATACTGAAATTTACACTATAAGACCCATAAGCCAAGTCTGCAAGGGGGAGATCACTCCTATACTGAAATTTACACTATAAGGCCTGCCCTCCAAGCCTGCAAGGGGGAGATCACTCCTATACTGAAATTTACACTATAAGACCCATAAGCCAAGTCTGCAAGGGGGAGATCACTCCTATACTGAAATTTACACTATAAGGCCTGCCCTCCAAGTCTGCAAGGGGGAGATCACTCCTATACTGAAATTTACACTATAAGACCCATACGCCAAGTCTGCAAGGGGGGGATCACTCCTATACTGAAATTACACTATAAGACCTGTCCTCCAAGTCTGCAAGGGGGAGATCACTCCTATACTGAAATTACACTATAAGACCCATACGCCAAGTCTGCAAGGGGGAGATCACTCCTATACTGAAATTACACTATAAGACCCATACGCCAAGTCTGCAAGGGGGAGATCACTCCTATACTGAAATTACACTTTAAGACGAGCCCTCCAAATCTGCAAGGGGAAGATCACTCCTTTACTGAAATTACACTATAAGGCCTGCCCTCCAAGTCTGCAAGGGGAAGATCACTCCTATACTGAAATTACACTATAAGACCCATACGCCAAGTCTACAAGGGGGAGATCACTCCTATACTGAAATTACACTTTAAGACGAGCCCTCCAAATCTGCAAGGGGGAGATCACTCCTATACTGAAATTACACTATAAGTCCCACACTCCAAATCTGCAAGGGGGTTTAACTTATACACTGACTAGTAACCAATACATGTATGACATAATATGTATATTTTATAACTACTAATACTTTTTTTTCTGCTTAGGAAAATAAATATACCAATGTACATGAGATAACAAGTTAATATTTGTACTTACCGTTGCTTCACTAGGGCATGCTGTTCCACACTGAACTGTTTTTGTCCAACAATCATTCCAACCTATAAAACATGTCAAACATAGAAACTGGTGTAAACCGTCCAGTGTTTACTTATCACATTTTACACATTTCCCCCTCTTCTTCTTGTCCAATAACTAGTTCCTGTTTTAAATTTTTCAATAATTTTGTTCTACCCTATATACATGTATTGATTGATATTAGTTTTATTCCCCCTGATACCTCCCTTCCCCCAGTCAACTACCCAAGCAACATTTCCATTACTGAAACTAAACTTGAAGGAGATGATTTCATACCAGTTGCACTACTTTTGACTAAGCTGTTCTAGAATTTTTTTTATAAGATCATTGATATTCTTATCCCTCTATTCAGACCATATTAGAGCCCCATCCCAGCCCCTGATGCCATGATCTGATTTAACTAGAAGTTGCATTTATGTGGATAATTACCAATAATGGTCCTGTTTTTTCTGACAAAAGAGCTAGGTTCACTTTCCTCATAAAATGGCCCTGTAGGTATGCAATTTTAATGACAAACACTCTCCCATTTCAAACATTAATATAAACAATAATAGAGACTTGGTGCTTTTATTTCCTATATCAATGTGTCTTCTGAGAGTCCAGGAATTAGAAAAAAAGGCTTAGGGAAATAGCAGTGTTCTTTAATTTAAAAAAAAAAAAAACAGGTGTATTTGAGTTCTTTCATCAAAGAATTAAAATATTAGCACACTCCTCTGTCCAAAAAATAAAATATGTTTCGTAATCTATCATTATATTATTGCACATTTTGGATCAGAGGTTGTGCTCTATACAAAATATTGAAAAATAGCATAAAAGTTTGGACATTAAGAAATTTTCAGGATATTGGAATAATAACACAATCATGACAACATAATACATTGACTAGACAGAAAATTATGTAATTTGAATAGATATACAGTCACCAAGGGTCCAAACTAAGCAGTTTTGATTCTTCAGATAATTACAGGGCCAAAAAGGGCCCTAAAAGAACCTTGCACTTTAAAGATTATCTATAAAAATTGTTAAGAAAACCTTGACCCCTTATAAAGATTGTCTCTACTGATTGTTATAAAAACCTCTATCCCCTATACAGATTCTTCAGACTGTTATGAAAACCTTGACCCCTAGACAGATTGTTCCTATAGATTGTTATGAAAACCTCTACCCTCTATATACGAGGGGTGATCAAAAAGTTCGCGAACTAATTGAATTACTTCCTTAAAAGAAATAAAATGAGGTTTCAGTGTTTATTATATTTTAAAGTAGTCATCTCTGATTTTAAAGCACATCTGCCATTGTTTTGCCCTTGCGAGAATCACGTGATCCAGGCAGTCACGTGACATGCTCCCTAGCAGTCTGTTCGGAGAAGCTTAAAAATTTTTCCAAGTCTTATATTTCTTACCATGCAAGTTATTTTTTATAACAAAACAGTCCATCTGTCAGAAATGGCCAAATCTCGGCAATAGGATGGGTGGATAAGGATATCCCTTATCATATCTCATATGTTTAAAGTCTAAAGTAAACAATATTTTAGGGATTTAATAATTATATTATTGTTAAGTTATTCAACCATTTTTCTAATTGTAACTTGATGATGTTTCATAACAAATTGCTCAATTAAGGACACATCTTTTCTCCGACTTACTTTCGCTGGGCAACAGAACAAACATCACATTTAACCACCTCCCTGTCTTCACTTAAATATTCAATCCAATTAATGATTGAACTTCTGGGATGTCTTTTGTCTTCATAAACCTTGTACAAATTATCATATTCTACTGCAAAGGAAATTCCAAGATATACGTTAAACTTTACAGCCATTCGTTGTTCAAGTTCAACTGAGTCAATCATTTTTTGTCACAAGTGACCTACATATTGACGTCATTTTCACATTGCGACACCACAAACATTATTTAACATCTGTTATTTATAGCACATGTGTATGACTATATGTGTGCCAAATTTCATTCTGATCTGAACTGTGGTTTTGTAAATATAAAGATTGTTCACGAACTTTTTGATCACCCCTCATATATATATATATAATCTAGATTGTTATGAAAACCTCAACCCCTTATTCAGATTGTTCCTATGGATTGTTATGAAAACTCGACCCCTTATACAGATTGTGTCTATAGAAACCTTGACCCCCAATACAGATTCTAGATTGTTATGAAAACCTTGACCCCTACTTCACCTTAAGATTTGTCCCTTTTGTGTACTGAAGGAACACTTTATATACTTGTGCAGCTAAATCCCTCACGGGCAAAACCACCAATGCTCGTACTCGACACAAAGTCCGGCTTTTCAAGGCCTGCAGAAAGATACATATTTCAAAGATTAAGCTTAACAAATTATGTTGTACATTTAAAGCACATGTTGCACAAAAACCTATTGTTTAAAAGTATAAATAAAGTCTTGTGTTTGTGTATTAGATAGGTATTTTACAATCTTGCAAAGTGTTTAAATTTGAAATGTACTGAATCATAAAAAAAACAGCAGAATCTCTAAGCAAAACAATTAATCCTACACAAATCAGCAATATCTGTAAACCAAACAGCACCTCGTCAACAAAGTCAGAAGCCCCACAGATACTTGGGTGTTGGTTTACAAATACTTTTGTTGTTTATTGATATGTAAAAACAGTACTGTTTTTACCTCAACCTCAAACTCGACTAAAAACTCTTTTTACATATCAACAGGTATACATACATATTTATAAACCAAGACCCCATTACCTGTGAGAAGCCCTTCTGGTTGACTTCAACTTTCCTATTGTCAACTTCCCATATTTATACAGCAATATACTTTAATCACCTGCATAATATGTTTATGTCTCCCAGTTGATTCAATACATAATAGCATGTATATATGAAGAATTTCTAAAATGATGCAACCTACCAACAAATAAGTGGATGATGCAAGGGTATCAATCTTGTCTTAAGTCAACATTTTGCAAATTTTTTGGTCAATACAATGACCCGATCACTCATCAAATAGCCTGTAGGAAGTGTCAGTGGATTAGACACACTCTCAGAAAACCACCAGGAGACACTACAAACCCCACCCTCAAGTGGAACCCCCAGGGCAAATGTCAGGTTTCGGCATTCCAGGATAACTTGGCAAAAATCATGTGAAGATGAAATCAGACACTGTAGACAGAGCTGGGGAGAACTGAAAAAGGCTACCTGAAACAGAGTCTGCTGGAGGACTGTTGCTGAGCTCCTATGTTCCAACCGGAACCAAAATGGAACCATGATGATATGTTGACGATGACCCTGCTTACAAATTTAATCTTTTGTTATGTTGAATGTTAACCGACTTCTTACATAGAAATTAGTAGGATTTTTTTGGTTAATACTGAATTGCCTAAGGATTTTTCTGTTCACCTGATCATGGAAAGGGGCTCAGGACAGGTGTAAAGGTGGAAAGGGGCTCACGACAGGTGTGATGGTGGAATGGGGATGCTTATTCCTCAATAATCCCTAGGGGTGCAACGATACGGTATTCAGTTCACGATACGATTCATATCACGATACATGAAAAGGTTAAAAAGTCTTTCAAGTTTGACATATTATTTTTTTAAACTTGACAGGGTTATATCAAATGTTCATATTTTTGATAATAATTAAAATATCATTTTGTTAACTTGAACTAGATTGATAGGTAGATCTTTGAGTTGTGACAATATTCTAAACCAGTGATGAACATTTACAGGGAACTACGGGGACCTTTCCTAATAGTCTTCCTTTTAAATTGGAATGAAAAAAGGAAGACATTCATTCTTTTATCCCTTTTATTTATGTAGAAAACCAGTTGTCATATTTCTTGTGTTGACACGTTTTAGTCAACAAGACAGCGAATTTTCATTGAAATACATGCGTGATGAGATATCGTGTATTACCAAAGAATATGTTTAGATCTAAAGGGTTTATCATTTGTCTTAACATCTATAACTTTTAATCACATAAAGTCCTTCTCCGTGTTAAATCTGAGGTCTGTAAGATGCTGGAGATGAGATTAACTGCCGTTAATGCGTTATGCCGACTTCAGGTTTTGTACGGAAGCCATTTTGGAATTGTAAACAAGGAAACAAAACGGACGGTTCGGATAATTCTGGACCAATTGAACCGAACCGCAGTATCAGTTTAGTGTATCGTGAATTGAATCGTGGAAAAATATACCGCAATATACCGTCAAATGGTTCATCATTGCACTCTTAATAATCCCACCTCTGATGTTTTCAGATGTCCGTGTTTGCCCTCCTCACAATGTGTATTATTTAATTGAACTTTTGAGCATGGATAATGTTCATTATCTTCACAATTCATCCAGACCTTGACTATAGCCACACATCATTTCCTTATTCAGCCAACTACAGAAACTGTTCTATAGACAGTAAATGAAGCTCCTCTATCACCAGACAGTACAGCTTAAGTGGCTAGACATCATTTCCTTCATGAACCAGATGTGCTCCATCAAAAAAAAAAAATTTCACCTTCTCTTTACTATTACCTGTACAATAGGTAGAACATAAGACTCCAATGTAGAATACCAACAGTTACTCGTACAAAAAGTAGAATATGTAACTCTAATATAGGATATTAACAATTACCTGTACAATAGGTAGAATATAAGATTCCAATATAGGATATCAACAATTACCTGTACAATAGGTAGAACATATAACTCTAATGTAGGATATCAACACTTACCTGTACAATAGGTAGAACATATAACTCTAATGTAGGATATCAACACTTACCTGTACAATAGGTAGAACATATAACTCTAATGTAGGATATCAACACTTACCTGTACAATAGGTAGAACATATAACTCTAATGTAGGATATCAACACTTACCTGTACAATAGGTAGAACATATAACTCTAATATAGGATATTAACACTTACCTGTACAATATGTAGAACAGATAACTCTAATATAGGATATTAACACTTACCTGTACAATACGTAGAACATATAACTCTAATATAGGATATCAACACTTACCTGTACAATAGGTAGAACATATAACTCTAATGTAGGATATCAACACTTACCTGTACAATAGGTAGAACATATAACTCTAATGTAGGATATCAACACTTACCTGTACAATAGGTAGAACATGTAACTCTAATATAGGATATCAACACTTACCTGTACAATAGGTAGAACATATAACTCTAATGTAGGATATCAACACTTACCTGTACAATACGTAGAACATATAACTCTAATGTAGGATATCAACACTTACCTGTACAATACGTAGAACATATAACTCTAATGTAGGATATCAACACTTACCTGTACAATAGGTAGAACATATAACTCTAATGTAGGATATCAACACTTACCTGTACAATAGGTAGAACATATATATTCTAATGTAGGATATCAACACTTACCTGTACAATAGGTAGAACATGTAACTCTAATGTAGGATATCAACACTTACCTGTACAATAGGTAGAACATATAACTCTAATATAGGATATTAACACTTACCTGTACAATACGTAGAACATATAACTCTAATATAGGATATTAACACTTACATGTACAATCGGTAGAACATATAACTCTAATGTAGGATATCAACACTTACCTGTACAATAGGTAGAACATATAACTCTAATGTAGGATATCAACACTTACCTGTACAATAGGTAGAACATATAACTCTAATATAGGATATCAACACCTACCTGTACAATAGGTAGAACATATAACTCTAATGTAGGATATCAACACTTACCTGTACAATACGTAGAACATATAACTCTAATGTAGGATATCAACACTTACCTGTACAATAGGTAGAACATATAACTCTAATGTAGGATATCAACACTTACCTGTACAATAGGTAGAACATATAACTCTAATGTAGGATATCAACACTTACCTGTACAGTAGGTAGAACATATAACTCTAATGTAGGATATCAACACTTACCTGTACAATAGGTAGAACATATAACTCTAATGTAGGATATCAACACTTACATGTACAATCGGTAGAACATAAGCCAATGTTTTACCGCTGCCTGTCGGAGCGGATACACAGATGTCTGGAGGCCTCATGCCAGCCCTGCCTAACACGAAACCATTATGTACAGTCTGTAGGATCTCAGGAATAACTTGTATCTGGACTATAAAATAAAGGTCAGAGCATTGCTAATATTGTACATTTATTGAGTTCTCATTGTGTATTTTGTCAGACCCAAGAACCAAGCTGTTTTGCCCAAGGCCGTTAGGACAAAGGTAAAAAGTTTGGTTTGAGGGTTTGGCAAAATGCATGTTGCCCTATAGAACCCTGTCAATAAATGTTTTGTTACTTGCTATAATGTTATGTCTTGCACTGGCTTTCATGTTTGCAATGAATGTCAATTTCATTTACCCATATTGTGGATTTCACTCAGTCAATTCTTAACTGTCAAACACCAAAAAAAGCAAATAAGATGTGACTGATCCTGCCAACAGTGACATAAAAAATGCCTTAGCAGTCCAATATCTCACTGACATGTCCAATATCTCACTGATATCTCCAATATCTCACTGACATGTCCTATCTCACTGACATGTCCAATATCTTGCTGACATGTCCAATATCTCACTGACATGTCCAATACCTCACTGACGTGTCCAATATCTCACTGATATGTCCAAAACCTCACTGACATGTCCAATATCTCACTGACATGTCCAATATCTCACTGACATGTCCAATATCTTACTGACATGTCCAATATCTCACTGATGTGTCCAATATCTCACTGACATCCAATATCTCACTGACATGTCCAATATCTCACTGACATGTCCAATATCTCACTGACATGTCCAATATATCACTGACACGTCCAATACCTCACTGACGTGTCCAGTATCTCACTGGTATGTCCAATATATCACTGACACGTCCAATACCTTACTGACATATCCAATATTTCACTCAGTGATCCAACTTTTTTTTTAGGGACCACTCAGTAAAACATTGGAAATGTTAGACTTTTTTTATTAAAGATTTACATAGGAAACTCTTTCCAAATGTATAACAAACATGTATATAATATAGAATATCATGTTTATATGTATATCTGAATCATGTAGAATATAATGTTTATATGTATATCTGAATCATATAGAATATCATGTTTATTATGTATATCTGAATCATGTAGAATATCAAATTTATTATGTACATCTGAATTATGTAGAATATCATATTTATATGTATATCTGAATCATATAGAATATCATATTTATTATGTATATCTGAATCATGTAGAATATCATATTTATTATGTATATCTGAATCATATAGAATATCATGTCTATAAGATCTGAATCATATAGAATATCATATTTATTATGTATATCTGAATCATATAGAATATCATGTCTATATGAACATCTGAATCATGTAGAATATCATATTCATTATGTATATCTGAATCATGTAGAATATCATATTTATTATGTATATCTGAATCATGTAGAATATCATATTTATTATGTATATCTGAATCATGTAGAATATCATGTCTATATGTACATCTGAATCATATAAATATCATATTTATTATGTACATCTAAATCATGTAGAATATCATGTTTATATGTACATCTGAATCATATAGAATATCATGTTTATATGTATATCTGAATCATGTAGAATATCATGTTTATTATGTATATCTGAATCATGTAGAATATCATATTTATTATGTATATCTGAATCATATAGAATATCATGTTTAGTATGTATATCTGAATCATGTAGAATATCATATTTATTATGTATATCTGAATCATATACAATATCATATTTATTATGTATATCTGAATCATGTAGAATATCATATTTATTATGTATATCTGAATCATGTAGAATATCATATTTATTATGTATATCTGAATCATATAGAATATCATATTCATTATGTACATCTGAATCATGTAGAATATCATGTTTATATGTACATCTGAATCATATACAATATCATATTTATTATGTATATCTGACTCATATAGAATATCATATTCATTATATACATCTGAATCATGTAGAATATCATGTTTATTATGTATATCTGAATCATGTACAATATCATGTTTATTATGTATATCTGAATCATGTAGAATATCATATTTATTATGTATATCTGAATCATATAGAATATCATATTTATTATGTACATCTGAATCATGTAGAATATCATGTTTATATGTACATCTGAATCATATAGAATATCATGTTTATATGTATATCTGAATCATGTACAATATCATGTTTATTATGTATATCTGAATCATATAGAATATCATATTTATTATGTATATCTGAATCATATAGAATATCATATTTATTATGTATATCTGAATCATATACAATATCATATTTATTATGTATATCTGAATCATGTAGAATATCATATTTATTATGTATAGCTGAATCATATAGAATATCATATTTATTATGTATATCTGAATCATGTAGAATATCATATTTATTATGTATATCTGAATCATATACAATATCATATTTATTATGTATATCTGAATCATGTAGAATATCATATTTATTATGTATATCTGAATCATGTAGAATATCATATTTATTATGTATATCTGAATCATATAGAATATCATATTCATTATGTACATCTGAATCATGTAGAATATCATGTTTATATGTACATCTGAATCATATAGAATATCATATTTATTATGTATATCTGACTCATATAGAATATCATATTCATTATGTACATCTGAATCATGTAGAATATCATGTTTATTATGTATATCTGAATCATGTACAATATCATGTTTATTATGTATATCTGAATCATGTAGAATATCATATTTATTATGTATATCTGAATCATATAGAATATCATATTTATTATGTACATCTGAATCATGTAGAATATCATGTTTATATGTATATCTGAATCATGTAGATTATCATGTTTATATGTATATCTGAATCATGTAGAATATCATATTTATTATGTATATCTGAATCATGTAGAATATCATATTTATTATGTATATCTGAATCATGTAGAATATCATGTTTATTATGTATATTTGAATCATGTAGAATATCATGTTTATATGTATATCTGAATCATGTAGAATATCATGTTTATTATGTATATCTGAATCATGTAGAATATCATATTTATTATGTATATCTGAATCATATAAATATCAAATTTATTATGTATATCTGAATCATATAGAATATCATATTTATTATGTACATCTGAATCATGTAGAATATCATATTTATTATGTATATCTGAATCATATACAATATCATATTTATTATGTATATCTGAATCATATAGAATATCATATTTATTATGTATATCTGAATCATGTAGATTATCATGTTTATTATGTATATCTGAATCATATAGAATATCATATTTATTATGTATATCTGAATCATGTAGAATATCAAATTTATTATGTATATCTGAATCATATAGAATATCATATTTATATGTACATCTGAATCATATAGAATATCATATTTATTATCTAGATCTGATTCATATAGAATATCATGTTTATTGTGTATATTTGAATCATGTAGAATATCATGTTTATTATGTATATCTGAATCATGTACAATATCATATTTATTAATGTATATCTGAATCATGTAGAATATCATATTTATTATGTATATCTGAATCATATACAATATCATATTGATTATGTATATCTGAATCATGTAGAATATCATATTTATTATGTACATCTGAATCATGTAGAATATCATATTTATATGTATATCTGAATCATGTAGAATATCATGTTTATATGTATATCTGAATAAGCTGAATCAGAAACTCTCTCTCACTCTCTCTAGTTATTTTTCAAAAGAATCAGCAGAACAACAAGAGACAGAAAAGAATAAAAGAATAATTTAGCGATAACATTCATCATTGTAAGTCACCCACATGGTGCAGTGAGAAGAAAAGCGATAACATTTGCCATTGTAAGTCACCCACGTGGTGCAGTGAGAAGAATAGCGATAACATTCGCCATTGTAAGTCACCCATGTGGTGCAGTGAGAAGAATAGCGATAACATTTGCCATTGTAAGTCACCCACGTGGTGCAGTGAGAAGAATAGCGATAACATTCTCCATTGTAAGTCACCCACGTGGTGCAGTGAGAAGAATAGCGATAACATTCGCCATTGTAAGTCACCCACGTGGTGCAGTGAGAAGAATAGCGATAACATTTGCCATTGTAAGTCACCCACGTGGTGCAGTGAGAAGAATAGCGATAACATTTGCCATTGTAAGTCACCCACGTGGTGCAGTGAGAAGAATAGCGATAACATTCGCCATTGTAAGTCACCCACGTGGTGCAATGAGAAGAATAGCGATAACATTCGCCATTTTAAGTCACCCACGTGGTGCAGTGAGAAGAATAGCGATAACATTTGGCATTGTAAGTCACCCACGTGGTGCAGTGAGAAGAATAGCGATAACATTCGCCATTGTAAGTCACCCACATGGTGCAGTGAGAAGAATAGCGATAACATTCGCCATTGTAAGTCACCCACGTGGTGCAGTGAGAAGAATAGCGATAACATTCGCCATTGTAAGTCACCCACGTGGTGCAGTGAGAAGAATAGCGATAACATTCGCCATTGTAAGTCACCCATGTGGCGCAGTGGTTAGAGCATTTGCTCTAGAGTCACAGCGTAAGAAGTTGATCCTTACGTTGAGAGCTCAAATCGCACTGTTGGACATGGAGACCGGTCCTTAGCATGAGACCATATAAATCGAGGTTCCCTGTTCCAGTAGGTGCTGGCCTGAAAAAGATCCCTCACTGCTCAATGGCCCTGAGTGCCGAGTATAGGTCAAAATTTGTAGCCCTCCACTGGCAAGTGGTGGCGTCTCCATATGAGCGAAAAATTCTCGAGAGGGATGTTAAACAACAAACAAACAAACTACTCATGATTGACATATAACACACATATATTTCCCAGAACATTTGAAATGAATTTCCTCAATTGGAAGTCAGAGCCTGATGTGGTAACCATCACTTTAGTTTTTATAATGCAATTTAAGTTAAAAGTATGGTTTATGATTAAAACTGACATTCAGCAGAAAAGTTCTCATTTACTATAGTATTTAATGCAATTTGATCATGTGCATTACAAGAGCAAGACAGCAAACCAAGGATTCTGTGAAGATTTATCATTTGCAGTTCTTCATTTCAAATTGACAAAGAAATATCAGAATGGACAAGAGGTTATAAATAATCAACAGTATTAAAAGGTTGCAAATGATTTTCAGTCTTCATTTTTTTTGGTTTTTTGTTTTTTTCATTCAAAACTTGTATACCAGTAAATCACCATGTCTGTCTTTTGATTATTGTTCTAACAGTGTCAATCTTATAATGACAACTACCGGTACCTTAACTAGGAAACTGTCCCTTGATCATTGTTCTAACAGTGTCAATCTTATAATGACAACTACCTTAAATAGGAAACTGTCTCCTGATTATTGTTCTAACAGTGTCAATGTAATATAAAGAGTACCTTTTCAGATATCGGACGAGGGGGCTTGCCCCCCGAGTCTGATATCTGAAGACGCGCGAGTTAAAAGGTACTCTGTATGTTTTTTATCATTGTTCTCAGGTATTGAGCTACCCATGATCTATCAAATTCACGTTAATAGCACTTAATTCAACTATATATATATATTCTCATGCACTGAATTAGCCATGATCTATCAAAATTTCATCAGACCATTTTATATAACCAATGAAAAAAGAGCACGTGATTCGAAAAGTATTGCGCGCTGTACTTCTTGAACTTTCTACCTCGTCCATTCATATTCTGAAAGCCATGGATGAGGGTTGTGATTTTATGCTTTCGCAGTTCTTATAGACACGGAAACCGAAATTATGAAGGAAAATTCCTTAGATCAGTTAGGAAACCAGATGCAGGTTGAAGATTCTTTGGGAAGTATGACGTTTGATCTACGGAACTAAAAATTGAACCTATTATTATGGATTTCGATAAAGGGGATATTTTAGACATAATGGAGACCGAGTTGGGTGCATTAATTTCACCAGTCTCAAGGTCGACACGAAGACGAAAAATGAAAGGTTTGTACAAGTGTCCGATCATGAAATTCAGCGTTTGATAGACTCTCAAAAAATATCCTCGTAACGTTCAAGCTAAGGAGTGGCGTGCGGCACAGGAAAATGTCCACTTTTGACCGAGATGAACAGCGATTCTCTAAATTACTGGATGCAGCGATTTGTGTTGGAATTAAAAACAAGGAATATCCACCTCGCTCCCTGTACTACATTGTGTGTGGTTTGTTACGCTTCAAGTTTATGAGAGACGAAAACATTTATTTATGAAAAAGTGCTTGTGTGAATATCGTTATGGATTTAAAAAAAAAAATGATGTGCAAAATTTAGAATTTTTTATGTAGACCTAAGGAAAGGTATACTTTCACTATGTTTATAATTATGTGCTTTTATTTTGCTCATAAAGTCAGCTACTTTGTTTATATTCTTTTTCTTTATCAATGTAAGGTCAGGGGTCATTGGAATTGTTGCATCATTACCCTGGTGTGTTCTATCTTGATAGAGCATGGTTGTTAGAGCACAGTTAGTCATGGTGTATCAAAAATAAAAACACAGTGGACATCAAAGGAAAAACATCGCAGCAATGATAGAACTTATAATGACAACTGCCTTAACTAGGAAACTGTCTCTTGATTATTGTCTAACAGTGTCAATCTTATAATGACAACTGCCTTAACTAGGAAACTGACCATTACTATGAAAATAGAACATATCAGGAATATAAAAATGCAACAAAACTCCATACCTGGGAAGAAATACTCAATCTGATTCTCCTCAAGGTTTCTATGGATCTGTGGGTCAAGCCCTTTGAACTCTGACACAGGAGTTGTTTTTTGCTTCAGATCTGAGGCAATCACACTGGGACTGGCAAGCCAATCTGGTAACACTCGGCACACCTTTACCAGGTTCAAAAAAGTAATCAAAATGTATACAATTCTTTCAATTTTCATTTGGTCATGTTGGTTCTTAATTACAATAAAAAAATGAATTTAATATTATGTATTACTATAGTAACAAAATTTTGTGGAGTATTTCAGTAATCTGTAAAATTAAAAGCTTACAAAATCTCAGAATCATTATATACAAAATGCACTTGACTGTTTAAATTACCGGTATTTTTTCTATAGTTTTTGATGACTCTGATAATTACCCTTAATCAACATAAACTGTTAATGAATACCTTTTCTGTTGCCCTTGTTTTGTAATTCCCGAGCACTGTAAAGCCCCCCAAGTCATATAACCCCTCCTGCTCATCCTCCCCAAGTAGAGATCCCCCTCTCTCCTCCTCATCAATATCTTGTCTCATACTGCTTGAATTATCCGTATTGTCCAAAATTATATTTGTGGAGTCTGGAATTATCGCTCCTTTGTGGTCTGTAGAATAACTGTCACTGTCTGCAGACTTCTCTTTATTCTCACAGGACTTGTCATCAAACTTCATCTTCTTCTTATCATCATCATCATCATAATCAGTGTCATCACATTTCAAAGCTATAGATTTCTGACCAGATTGAGGTTCACTAGACTTTAATGCCTTTTTATGTGTAAGTTTTTTCTTTTTCGTTTTTTCAGCTGATCTCTTCCTGTCCGTTTTTTTCTTTGTGATGTTCTGTTGGGATTTTTCAGTTCCACGTTGCTTCTTCCTTGCTTCAGCATCAGCTTTTAGTTTCTTTAGAATTAAACCTGCTCTGGTTTCTGTTTCCGCCTCTTCTTTTTCATCACCTGTGTATCTTGAAGTTGAAAATTTCAACATTTCATTAACTAAAGCATTTTTTGTCAGTTAGGTTCTGTATGAAAACAAGAGGTCCAGGGGCCACATCTCTCACCTGAGCACTTTGGCTGGGAAAAAGCAGATATCAGTTCAGTATTGAAAAGTTTAAATATAAAAATGGTTGGGGGGTATGATTTGAACAAGCTTGAATCTAAACTTCTTAAGGATGCTTTTGAATTAATATAACACAAAATGACTTTGCTGTTCTTAAGATGAACATTTTTATTGATATATCCTTTATATTCTTTTGTATAATTATGATCCCCTGTTATGGCCCCTCTATTCTCCTGGGGGTCATGATTTTAAAAAATTTAAATCTACATTAACTGAGGATGCTTTTATATTATTATGACCAATCATGCCTTTGTTGTTCTTGTGAAGATTTTTAAAGATTTTTCCTATGTAAAACTTTCATCGCCCATTTTGGCCCCACCCTACCCCAAGGGGTCATCTACACAACCTAAGCATGCTTCCATATAAATATGTCTAATAATTATGGCTTTGCTGTTTTTGAGAAGAAGATTTTTAAAGATTTTTCCTACATATTCCTATGTAAAACTTTGATCCCCCATTGTGGCCCCACCCTACCCTTGGGGGTCATGATTTGAACAAAAGTGAATCTACACTACCTGAGGATGCTTCAATATTAATAAATAAAATACAATTTCATCAAAATCTGTTTTTATCAGAATGGTCGATATCATTTACCATGATTTTCAAGCGTTTGCTTGGAACAAAAGGGTGCCCATATCATGATCACAGAGGAATACTTTATTTGTGGTGTTATAAAACAACGGCGATGTATCAACCTTATGCCTGTAGCTTATTCCAATCCTACACGCTTGAAAATTTCATTAATAAAATATACCATAACTAATTAAGAGTGTTTCGTTGGTATTTGCAATCCTGTCTTTTGAAATTAAGGTACTTAGTACATGGCAAGGCCCGCCTCATGAGCAGATGAGGGGCCCACCTTGTGAACACGTCAATAAATTTCACTGCATTTTATTTAATTTGAGTTTCGATCTAATAAACAGTTCATGTCTGTTCCATAAGAGTTGTAAATATGTCTGCATATTTCATCCTGATGAATATAATTTCTTCATGCCTTTTATTCATGGGTTAAAGTTCGTGACTATGACATTGTGTATAGCATATTTATCATTTTTAGATATGGTTTGGTTCAACTAAATATTGAAAAAGTACAGTGCATTAAGCACTGGAAGCTGATAATAGGTTTGAAAAATACTTGAATGTCCGGTCTTTGCGTATCTGAGAATCTTGTCTTTTTAAATATTCCATTTCTGAATCAATAAATTTACACTGGCGTGAGATATTTTACAAGTTCAATTGAATAATACCTGTCAGTGTGAATTTAATTAACCTAAAATTTAGCTTTTCAATGGCATTCGTGTGATATTCTGTTTACAAATCCCTTTCTTTTGTACTGTTCATATTTATAAAGGTATTATTCCATTAAATTTCAGAAGGTATTTTCAAAGCTGCTGTCTGAAAATAAAATTATTTACCTACCTACCCAACTTGAGATTTTAGGGTCCGGTTCGGGGAAACAAAGATATTTTTAATGATGGTCTGATTCCAGAATAATATCCATCATTGACAGAGGAGTTAGTGAAAAGCATGAATTACTTAATTGCTTTGACATTTTATCTATCAAATTATAAAATACACTGTAAACAATGGTATAATAAATATCTAAATACAGTAAACCGAACAATAAACACACCTCATGATATATTTGTAAGAAATGAAGAAATATACACGTATTATATGTAACAGTTACAAAATATGTAATTTTTTTCACGTTTTATTATGCAGACATATAAATGAAAGGAAATAAATACATTAAATAGCATATGAATAAAACTTTATGAGAAAAGGACTTAATTATGTTCATCATCATGTAATTGGAATGAAACACATCGGGTTAAACAAGCATAAATTTAAATGTAATCACTAAACTGATAGATTATAGATAGTTCATTAACCAAGACATCTCTTTGATGTTGAGCTTGTGGAGCACATGGCTCTGACAGTGGTCATAGGTGTTTGGCAAGTACACCAAAGATTGCTAATTCAAAGGACTTGATGTTGTGTGTTGTGTCGTTAGAAAAGGCAGAGTACTTTATCTGCATTCTCTCAGTCCATCCGCTGTAATGGGTACTGGCTTATGCTGGGAGTGAATCTGCGATGGACGCATTTCCCATCCAGGGGGAGTTAAAAACGCTCATCAGGTTAGCACCATAAAAACTGGGTATAAGCACTGAGCCTTAGGACTTGGAAAGGGATTTAGGATTTTTTGTTTGTTTGAGCTATTCTGCCAATACTGTAGCATGCTCAGCCTAATTAAGCAGGTCAGACACAGTCTCATGATGTAGCTACCTGGTATATAGCTTGACTGAATAAACAGGGGATATCTGTATTGTGTGATTTTATATTTGCTTTATTTAGCCGTTAACGAGTGGGTTCGCCCCCATGTTTGCTCTGAGTGGTTTTGCTCCGATTTTACTTGTAACCTCTCATTAAAGGTGTCAAATTTTTGCATGTGTAGAATTTGGCGAGTTGCTATGACAAATACCTAATGTTCTATGTTTGTGGTTTTTGCATGTGTGCCATGTGAAAGTTTTTTATTGTATCCAAAGCGATCTATACAGTACACTTACTTTTTTAATAAAGTAAATCTTATTTGTTCAGAATTTCAGAAAAAGATGGAGATTGTTGGAATAAAATTAAAACGATCAAGCTAAATCTTTTTATTTTACATATTTAAACATAGACGAGTTGTTACTTTCATGATTTTTGAAAGATAAGTTGTATCATATCTCTCGCTAAAATCGTAAATAATTGTTTGGAATTGATTGGCAACTAATAATTGAATTTAATTAATTTAAAAGTGCTTATTAATTATGTTAATCTAAACACCCAGTGATCAAACGACTTTTGCTTTTGTGGATTGACAAAGATCTGGGAGAACATTGCCACATAGATGTCATATACTAAAAATCTAAATATTAAATTGTTTCTCCTTTAATGTTTAATAGCAAGCGCAGCGAGTGGCGCAAAGCGCCGCTCGGCACTGCCAGCTCTTACAGCAACACCTAGGCGAAGACAAAATTCGGACATTGCACATTGATCCAAACAATTTTTTTCCGCAGTAACCTTTGGTCCTATAATGCTTTGCAAATTGCATCTCACCCTAAACTACGTTCTCACGGTAGCAACATAAGTTCAACAAAAAAAAAACACATTTATTTATCCTAGAGTACCCATGAATCATCCCCTTACGACATTCAGCGTCATAGTAATGGCGAGCACGTGCAAATTGATAAACAAACTTCAGTGCTAGCTATAGAACGGAAATGCTGATTAAATGTTAAAAGTCATTTATTCATATCACTCTTGACAAGATTTTTAGAGCTCTTCTACAAAATCAAACTTTTACACTTAAAAATGTCACCCATACCCTATTTTCATCCTTCAGATATAAAAACGGTCGCAAGCTATTGTCTATTTGTTTTTCATGATTTGTGATAAAAAAAGTGGAAAATCATTTAAATAAAAATTATAAATAAAGTCCTTCTATGCAAAAGGTATTTTTTTAAAAATATTCTTATCAATTTAAGAACATTCAATTGCTTTAGCTATTACCGACTCCGTTTTCTTTTTAAGAAACACGAATGTACTCTCAGATTTACATTGTCAACAATGTCATTACAATACATGCTCATCAAATTACATGATATGCGAATTATACAATGTTATATTTCAGATTTTCCAAAATTCATTGGCCTTACTGGCAAAAACCGATAGAAAATCAATATATTTGAACAGTGCAAGTACGTCTGACCGACACAATCTGGAAAAATCAGAAAACTTTAATTAATGGTTGGGGTTACAACGTAGACTTGAATTGATCACCTAATTATAATGTGTAAAATATTCAAGTTACAGGAAAAAAAACTTTTTACCTATTCTGTAGTAGATGAGAAATTAATTAAAGAGTGGCAGTAAAGATCTTGTTTTACTTGATTATCAATATGTCATGAATTTCAGTACCCAGTAGACGCTGCTGGATTAGTTATGCTTTAATGCACATGGCACCCGTGAAACTGGTAAAAATTATGACAAAAATACACCTTCTTTGGTCGACTAAATAAAACGACTGTTTGATAAAATAAATTCTTGGTTTATAGAAATGAAATATTCTCTTCTTTGGTCGACTAAATAAAACGACTGTTTGATAAAATAAATTCTTGGTTTATAGAAATGAAATATTCTCTTCTTAATTACTTGACTACTTTTCGACTTTTTGTGAAGGGCGGGGGGGGGGGGGGGGGGGGGGGGGGGTGGGTTATTGATCAGGACTGGCAACTTATCAAGGTCAAAAGTAGATCTATTCAAACAATGTGAATATCATTGCTTGGGTATGTTGAAAGATTGATTTTTTTAAGGGTGGAGGTTGGGATGGTTATGATAAATTCTTATGTACGATAATTATTGATTTTATTTATTTGTCGTTTTAATAACATATTCCCAAAGGAAAAAAATCTCGATTATATACATTAACTTAAATGAAAGGAAAAAACACCAGCATGATATAAAATGTTTTAATTTGTAGGACCAACAGAAATTCTATTGTTGGAAGCATTCACATTTATTAATCAAAGTTACTGATAAAATCTTTGATTTTTGGAGACTCTATCATTTGCAGTGATGACATAAATTTTCTTTCTGAAATAATTTGTAATACTCGCTTGGCCGCATAGTACATAGTACATCAACCAATCACGGGTAACATCAATATCTAGGTGGAAAGTGTATAAGATCCTTATGATTTGGGAGCATTAAATTTTTGTTTTCAAATTCTTAAATTAAAAGCCCATGCACATAATTCAATACACTGACAGGTATAAAATAATAAAATGAAGGTAAATCTGATCTGTCGAAGTGATTTTTGGGAACGTAACTGCGGTAACTGCGGTATACACTTTCAATAAAATATGGACCAAAGGAAAAAACAGATAGTTTAAGGATTATTATTTTCTTTCATTTTACTATGACTTTAAACTGCATATTCTAATAAATAATTGCTAACACATTTGCATCACTGTGTTTACCAGTTTGGAACGTGCGGGCTGCGTGAAGCTTGAGGACGATTTCAGGGTACGGACGAATTTAGGGTATACGACGATAATTGATATATTGCAGGAAAAAAAAAACAGTAGATTAAACATTCTTCATTAAAACTAGCACTGATCAGGCTTCAATTTAGTAAAGCAACTTAACGTCAGAGTCTCTCTCGACGTAACCATATGTTACATGGGTTTGAAGAGACGGATGTAAATTAAAACTAAAGAAGTATCTGGGCTCGCCCTAACGGTCACATCGTCAACATATTACATATTTATTCATTTCTGATGCTCAGAATGTGTACGCCAGAATTAACTCTATCCTCAGGCGTGTTTTCTTTGTCAAAGAACGACTTCTACACAGAACATGTAACAATTACTGCAATTGTTAATTCTATCATGAATATAAAAATATGAAAAATACCTTGTAATGGCAAATAATGCCATTCTTGGGCCAAATAATGTACAAAACAATTTCTGAAAACTTTAACACTTGTCCTTAATGGGCGCATCCATTTTTATTGCGAACTATGGGTATAAATCAACCAATCCGCATTCAACAAATCACATCGTGTAAACTTCCTGTTATGAAACGATGGTAGAATGTATGAAATTCTTATCAAACATCTGTCAAGTTACCACCCGATATGACAAATGGCAGAGGAAATACTGTTCCAACATAATGCTGCTCACTTCTCTTCTTCTTCTGGTATTTATCACTGGCGCTGCAGTGGCCTATCTAGTGCTATCGTCATGGTCATACCCATATGGTCTACTTTCACTTTTCTCTACCAAACAGATCGGGACAACTTCACAGGAGACGCATGACACTTCGCTCGTTTTTCGAGTTAGACAACAACAAATGCCAACAAAAGGTGAAGTACATCTGTGGGTAATTTTCCGGCTTCCCTATGTATTCAACATAACAGTTTTCATAAATAGTCACATTTTTAACAGGTTGGGACCAATCGCCCAAATGGGATATAATAGCCCGTTTGGGATATAATATCCCAAATGGGATATATATAATATCCCAAATGGGATATAAAGTTACAATGCAAAAAATGAAATTTCTATCTTGGCTATAAATATCATAAATCCGCATCAAGATACTTATAAAGGAATAACTTTTGGTTAACAAGTTTTTTAGCTCACCTGAGCTGAAAGCTCAAGTGAGCTTTTCTGATCACATTTTGTCCGGCGTCCGTCTGTCTGTAAACTTTTCACATTTTCGACTTCTTCTCAAGAACCACTGGGCCAATTTCAACCAAACTTGGCACAAAGTATCCTTGGGTAAAGGGGATACAAGTTTGTTCAAATGAAGGGCCATGCCCTCTTTCAAGGGGAGATAATAAGGAATTAGTGAAAAAATAATGGCATCATTTAAAAATCTTCTTCTCAAGAACCACAGGGCCAGGAAAGATGAAACTCATGTGGAAGCATCCTCAGGTAGTGTACATTCAAGTTTGTTCAAATCATGACCCCCGGGGGTAGGGCGGGGCCACAATGGAGGATCAAATTTTTACATAGAAATATATAGGAAAAATCTTTTAAAATCTTCTTCTCAAGAACAGCAAAGCCATGATGAGTCATATTTATATGGAAGCATCCTCAGGTAGTGTAGATTCAAGTTTGTTCAAACCATGACCCCCGGGGGTAGGGCGGGGCCACAATGGAGGATCAAATTTTTACATAGAAATATATAGGAAAAATCTTTTAAAATCTTCTTCTCAAGAACAGCAAGGCCATGATGAGTCATATTTATATGGAAGCATCCTCAGGTAGTGTAGATTCAAGTTTGTTCAAACCATGACCCCCGGGGGTAGGGCAGGGCCACAATGGAGGATCAAATTTTTACATAGGAATATATAGGAAAAATCTTTTAAAATCTTCTCAAGAACAGCAAAGCCATGATGAGTCATATTTATATGGAAGCATCCTCAGATAGTGTAGATTCAAGTTTGTTCAAACCATGACACCCGGGGGTAGGGTGGGGCCACAATGGAGGATCAAAGTTTTACATAGAAATATATAGGAAAAATCTCTAAAAATCTTCTTCTCAAGAACAGCAAAGCCATGATGAGTCATATTTATATGGAAGCATCCTCAGATAGTGTAGATTCAAGTTTGTTCAAATCATGACCCCGGGGGGGGGGGGGGGGGGGTAGGGGGGGGCCACAATGGAGGATCAAAGTTTTACATAGAAATGTATAGGAAAAATTTAAAAAATCTTCTTCTCAGGAACAGCAAAGCCCTGATTGATCATATTTATTTGGAAGCATCCTCAGATAGTGTAGATTCTTTTTTGTTCAAATCATGACTCCTGTGGATAGGGTGGGGCTACAATGGAGGATCAAAGTCTTAAATAGAAATATATAGGAAAATATCTTCTTCTGAAGAACTGCAAACCATGATTAGTCATTTTGATTCAATTTTGTTCAAATGATGACCCCCAGGGGTAGGATGGGGCCCAATGGGGGATTGAAAGTTTTACATAAGAACATATAGAAAAAATATTTCTTCTCAAGTTCAGAAAAGCTATGTTTAGTCATATTGATATGGAAGCATCCTCAGGTAGTGTTGATTCAAGTTTGTTCAAATGATGACCCCTGGGATAGGGAAGAGCCACAATGGGGGATCAAATTTTTACAAAGGAATATATGGGAAATTTTTTTTAAAAACTTCTCAAGTACAACAAAGCCATGTGTTATATTGACATGGAAGCATCATCAGGTTGTTTAGAATTCATGCCCCCCCCCCCCCCCCCAGTAATCTAATAGATTCAATACTGAACTGATTTGTGCTTTTGCCTAGCCAATGTGCTCAGGTGAGCGATGTGGCCCATGGGCCTCTTGTCTATATGACCACTGTTTAAGAAATTGTTCCCTCGGAAGTTCGTAAACTTCTTGGGGATCAATCTAACAACCCGTAGGGTTGCAGAAAAACTTGCTTGCTAAAAGTCATTCCTTTTAAAGTATATTGATGTGGATTTATGATATTTATAGCCAAAATAAAAATTTTCATTTTTTTTGCACTGTAAATTTATATCCCATTTGGGATATTATATCCCAGACGGATATTATATCCCATTTGGGTGATTGTTCCCAACCCTGTTTAAAGCATCACTTCAAACTTTGAACAGGTCAAATCTAAAGACTATTTCTATCTTCTATTTATAGCTACCTGGGTATTTATAGCGACTCCAGGTAGCTCTTTCTAGCTACTTTTTGCTTTATTAGCATTTTTTGGGCAAACACTGGAAGGGCGCAATATGTTGAGTACCAAATTTCTTAATACAGTCACATTGACGATGAATAGGACCACCATTTTGGCCAAAAAATGATTTCTTTCTAAGTTATCAATTTTGCATGAAAACTGCATCTATGCAGTTTCATTTTCTGGTAGCTAAAAATCAAAACTAAGTCTTAAATGTCTTACAGATCTGTATCAATTTTAAAACTTATCTTCATGCATTCTTGGTTAAAATGTTTTTGGGATGTTTTTTCATGCATTTCCTCTCCATTCTCCATGCTCTTAAAGTTTTCAAATTTACATCCTGAATTTTGCTGTGCAAGTGCACAATATGATAAACAACAAGTTTGGCCTGTTTTAAAGATGCGCCTGAATTATTATTTAATTTTATTTTCAAAGCCAGGTAAAAGTAGGTAGAAGTAGCTACTTCAAGAAGGTTTAAATACCTAGGTAGCTATTAGTAGCTACTAGGTAGAAATAGTCTTTGGTCTGGACCTGTTGAAAATTATTAAAATTTTAAAGAAAAAAATATAAAAAGCTGTCCTTTTTAGCTCACCTGAGCCAAAGGCTCAAGTGAGCTTTTCTGATCAAAATTTGTCCGTTGTCTGTCGTTGTCGTTGGCGTCGTCTTTGTTGTAAAGTTTTCACATTTTCATCTTCTTCTCCAGAACTACTGGGCCAATTTCAACCAAACTTGCCACAAAGTATCCTTGGGTAAAGGGGATTCAAGTTTGTTCAAATGAAGGGCCACACCTTCTTCCAAGGGGAGATAATTAAGAATTCGTGAAAAATTAATGGCATCATTAAAAAATCTTCTCAAGAACCACTGTGCTTGAAAATATGAAACTTATGTGGAAGCATCCTCAGGTAGTGTAGATTCAAGTTTGTTCAAATCATGACCCCTGGGGGTCGGGTGGGGCCACAATGGAGGATCAAAGTTTTACATAGGAATATATAGGAAAAATCTTTAAAAATCTTCTTCTCAAGAACAGCAAAGCCATGATTGGTCATATTTATATGGTAGCATCCTCAGATAGTGTAGATTCAAGTTTGTTCAAATCATGACCCCCGGGGGTCGGGTGGGGCCACAATGGGCGATCAAAGTTTTACATAGGAATATAAAGGAAAAATCTTTAAAAAATCTTCTCAAGAACAGCAAAGGCATGATTGGTCATATTTATATGGTAGCATCCTCAGATAGTGTAGATTCAAGTTTGTTCAAATCATGACCCCCAGGGGTCGGGTGGGGCCACAATGGGCGATCAAAGTTTTACATAGGAATATATAGGAAAAATCTTCTTCTCAAGAACAGCAAAGCCACGATTGGTCATATTTACATGGAAGCATCCTCAGGTAGTATAGATTCAAGTTTGTTCAAATCATGACCCGCGGGGGTCGGGTGGGGCCACAATGGGCGATCAAAGTTTTACATAGGAATATAAAGGAAAAATCTTTAAAAAATCTTCTCAAGAACAGCAAAGGCATGATTGGTCATATTTATATGGTAGCATCCTCAGATAGTGTAGATTCAAGATTCAAGGGCCACAATGGGCGATCAAAGTTTTACATAGGAATATATAGGAAAAATCTTCTTCTCAAGAACAGCAAAGCCACGATTGGTCATATTTACATGGAAGCATCCTCAGGTAGTATAGATTCAAGTTTGTTCAAATCATGACCCGCGGGGGTCGGGTGGGGCCACAATGGGCGATCAAAGTTTTACATAGGAATATAAAGGAAAAATCTTTAAAAAATCTTCTCAAGAACAGCAAAGGCATGATTGGTCATATTTATATGGTAGCATCCTCAGATAGTGTAGATTCAAGTTTGTTCAAATCATGACCCCTGGGGGTCGGGTGGGGCCACAATGGGCGATCAAAGTTTTACATAGGAATATATAGGAAAAATCTTTAAAAATCTTCTTCTCAAGAACAGCAAGGCCATGATTGGTCATATTTACATGGAAGCATCCTCAGGTAGTGTAGATTCAAGTTTGTTCAAATCATGACCCCCGGGGGTCGGGTGGGGCCACAATGGGCGATCAAAGTTTTACATAGGAATACAAAGGTTAAATCTTTAAAAATCTTCTACTCAAGAACAGCAAAGCCATGATTGGTCATATTCAATTGGAAGCATCCTCAGATATTGTAGATTCAAATTTGTTCAATTTATGACCCCCCCCTCCCCCCGAACCACTTTTTAGCTCACCTGAGCCGAAGGCTCAAGTGAGCTTTTCTGATCACATTTTGTCCGTCGTCCGTCCGTCCGTCTGTCCATCTGTCTGTCCGTCCGTCTGTAAACTTTTCACATTTTTGACTTCTTCTCAAGAATCACTGGGCCAATTTTGACCAAACTTGGTACAAAGCATCCTTGGGTAAAGGGGAATTTAAATTATTAAAATGAAGGGCCAAGTCCCCTCACAAGGGGAGATAATCAAGAGAAGACAAAAATAGGGTGGGGTCATTAAAAAATCTTCTTCTCAAGAACCACAGGGCCAGTAAAGCTGAAACTTATATGGAAGCATCCTGGGGTAGTGTAGATTCTAAATTGTTCAAATCATGACCCCCAGGGGTAGGGCGGGGCCACAATGTGGAATCAATGTTTTACGTAGAAATATATAGGAAAAATCTTTAAAAATCTTCTTCTCAAGAACCACTGGGCCAGAAAAGCTGAAACTTATGTGGAAGCATCCTGGGATAGTGTAGATTCTAAATTGTAAAAATCATGACCCCCGGGGGTAGGGCGGGGCCACAATAGGGAATCCAAGTTTTACATTGAAATATATAGGAAAAATCTTTAAAAATCTTCCTCTCAAGAACCAGTGGACCAGAAAAGCTGAAACTTATGTGGAAGCATCCTGGGGTAGTGTAGATTCTAATTTGTTCAAATCATGACCCCTGGGGGTAGGGCGGGGCCACAATAGGGAATCCAAGTTTTACATTGAAATATATAGGAAAAATCTTTAAAAATCTTCTTCTCAAGAACCACTGGACAAGAAAAGCTGAAACTTATGTGGAAGCATCCTTGGGTAGTGTAGATTCTAAATTGTTCAAATCATGACCCCCGGGGGTAGGGCGGGGCCATAATAGGAAATACAAGTTTTACATTGAAATATATAGGAAAAATCTTTAAAAAACTTCTTCTCAAGAACCACTGGGCCAGAAAAGCTGAAACTTATGTGGAAGCATCCTGAGGTAGTGTAGATTCTAAATTGTTTAAATCATGACCCCCGGGGGTAGGGCGGGGCCACAATAGGGAATCCAAGTTTTACATTGAAATATATAGGAAAAATCTTTAAAAATCTTCTTCTCAAGAACCACTGGACCAGAAAAGCTGAAACTTATGTGGAAGCATCCTGGGGTAGTGTAGATTCTAAATTGTTCAAATCATGACCCCCGGGGGTAGGGCGGGGCCACAATAGGAAATACAAGTTTTACATTGAAATATATAGGAAAAATCTTTAAAAAACTTCTTCTCAAGAACCACTGGACCAGAAAAGCTGAAACTTATGTGGAAGCATCCTGGGGTAGTGTAGATTCTAAATTGTTTAAATCATGACCCCCGGGGGTAGGGCGAGGCCACAATAGGGAATCCAAGTTTTACATTGAAATATATATAGGAAAAATCTTTTAAAATCTTCTTCTCAAGAACCACTGGGCCAGAAAAGCTGAAACTTATGTGGAAGCATCCTGGGGTAGTGTAGATTCTAAATTGTTCAAATCATGACCCCCGGGGGTAGGGCGGGGCCACAATAGGAAATACAAGTTTTACATTGAAATATATAGGAAAAATCTTTAAAAATCTTCTTCTCAAGAACCACTGGGCCAGAAAAGCTGAAACTTATGTGGAAGCATCCTCAAGTAGTGTACACTCTAAATTGTTCAAATCATGACCCAGGGGATAGGGTGGGGCCACAATAGGGGGAATCCCAAGTTTTACATTGAAATATATAGGAAAAATCTTTAAAAATCTTCTCAAGAACAACTGGACCAGAAAAACTGAAACTTATGTGGAAGCATCCTGGGGTAGTGTAGATTCTAAATTGTTCAAATCATGGCCCCTGGGGGGAGGGTGGGGCCAGGTATAACAAGGGGGGAGTCTGGTAATGAACAGCATGGCCAAAGTTACTCAGGTGAGCGATGTGGCCCATGGGCCTCTTGTTTATTCAAACTTTTCATACTTTCAAGACTGAACTGATTTCTGCTTTTTCCTAGCCATAGTGCTCAGGTGAGCGATGTGGCCCCTGGGCCTCTTGTTTGGATTAGAATTTAATGTTACATTCTTATAATTTATTGAAAATTAAAGTACTTATCGCATGATCTTTCAAAAATCGTAATTTTATGAAAAATATTATCTACAACCTTGTTTATTAAAATACTGAATACAATAAACGTTGTTGAAAGCATATTTTAAGAGATATTGGGAGTTGAAATTCAAATACGGCAATATGCATATTTCAGCCCGATTTTAGCGAAATACTGCTCTGATGTCATAGGCGATAATTCAGTGATAGAGAGATGAGAATATGCACACTTTTTACGGAGTTATCAACGACAAATGCAGCTTAATTACGAAAAATGCTGAAAAAATTAATTCCTAACATGATTTTCATTTACTATAGAAACATTAACTAGTTCTAAGGTATAAGGCTTTTGAGATATTTTCGTTTTTTATTCCAAACATTTAGAATCTATAGCTCTGATTACGGCAATGTTTCGTGATCGGGAAATTATTTTTCAAGATCGCCATCCTTTAAAAAACGTATGAAGACTTGCATACATTAATATTATGTTAAAAACGAAGAACAACAAAGTTATATAACTTTAAATTTGTGAATCAAATAAGTAAATACATGTGATAAGATGACAAATCAAATCGTATTCTGATAGTGAGTTTCTTCGTCTTCACCGCGTCTCCTTCGCTCTCGTTGCTGCTATTTTTACAATGTTAACAGATTTTCCAGATTTTTTCTTGCTGACAGTTCTAACATATAAGGATGGATATTCAATTTCATATGGATAAAATAAGCGATTTGGTCGTCCACAACGCAGAAAATTCAGGTTGTATCGCGTATATTTTCGTAAGATTAACATGGAGCTGATCAGCCATTGTCGCCTTTGACGTCACAGGGTCACGTGATTGCTATCTAATTAACTTAGATTTTTAAATCAGGGGTTTTCATTTGAGTCAATAATTGATTAATTACCGCGGTTTATCCGCAATAAAAACACAAAATTTATAAACTGTGGTCATAAGTAACGTTTTACGCTTTTAATTTTAAATAATTTAGAAACATGCAATAAGTCCTTTAATCCAGCACAATTAGTGTTGTTACAAGCCATTAAAAATGAAAACTTGAAATCTGAGCTCAAAATTAAACATCAGGACTCAACATTAACATTTGTCTGATTGCCCGTGTCCCGTTAATCTTGTGATCAGACAAGTCATTCTCCAGGTACACTTGTCTGATTGTACAAGTTACTTTTTGTACCATTATGAAATATTGTTAATCATGTTTATATGATGGGGGAAAAAATAATTCCCACAGAATTCATTTCACAGTGTCATATTTAAAAGATGGCATACATCAATTATGAATCAGTACAATCTGAAGAGTCAGTCTCACATCACAGGATATGAGTCTCACATCACAGGATATGAGTCTGATCAAGACTAGCTAGGTTACAGATACTGATAGTACTACTGTATTTTTGATCAGTACTGTAATTTATTTATTTTTTGATCAGTACTGTAATTTATTTATTTTCATGCTTTTTGATTTGTAACCTAGTCTTGATCGCACTCATCATTTATTAATCAAATCCTTAGAAGTAAAAATTAATTATACTACTTCATTATTAAAAATATAGTTCTACAAGAATTTTATAACATTTGTTGGCAACTTTTCCAATGGGACATGTGGATATTTTAGTTAATGTTGAGCCTTGAATATAGCAGTACATGTTTATCATTGAGTATCCAAACTCTGTCACCATCAGCTGAAAATGCCTTGTTACTCTGATTTTGTTTCTTCTCATTTGCAACACTTAGAATTTACCTCAAATGTTGTTTCACTGTACTGTATACAAAAATTGCATCTTTCGCTTAATCAGGTTTACTTAACACCACTGAATATTGAAGGTGTAAGGGCCATTAAAAAAACACATAGATTTGTTGCACAGACAAAATATTTGATGTCAAAAACACACAAAAAGTCACAGATATTAAACTGAATCTTTACTTTAGTGGTCAGTAAAATTTCATTTCAAATTATAACTGTTGCAGATTGATATTAATTCTGATTACTTTGGACCTATCGTGAAGTCAAGGCACAGTTAAAGTAAAATTATACTATATCACAGATATCATAAAAAAGATATATGTTCAATATATTCCCCAGCTTTGTTTTTGATACACAGTGTTTCCTCATCCACTCAGCATAAAAACTATACTGGTATACCATTTCTGGTCCAGCTTGGAAACTATAAAACTAGCTCAGTATTTTAAATCTATCATAGTTTCTTTTTACACTTCAAGACTTTTGGTAAATGTATTTCTGAAATGTTGTGTGTCATCAGCTGCTCTCACATTCTTAATGGTCCAGATCAAGTTTATAATGTTAATAAAATAGCAAATTTGAAGAGAAATTTACTTGGTGAGGTATAAATGGCAGAATTTATATATTTTTATATATTTTATATTTTTCTTAGCAGACATTCAAAAGGAAGCCGTATCAGCCATGAACCTAGCTTTAGATATGGAGGCACAAGGGAAATATGAGAAAGCAAGAAAACTTTACCACCATGCTCTTAAACTGGATCCCAATCATGTAGAAATCCTCACTGCTTTTGGTGAATATCTAGAAAAGTTTGAACATGATCTGCTTCGTGCTAATCATATGTATAGTAAAGCACTGGCTTTGAGCCCAGAATACACTAAAGCCCTAAACAACAGGCAGCGAATCTTACCTATAGTAGAAGAAATTGATCAAAGACGATTCAATATGATAGATAAAAAACTCAATCTATTTGTGAAAATTCCTCAGAATAACCCAGGTTTAAGGAGAGCCAAAAAGGAATCCTATTTCTCTCACATTTATCACACAAATGCAATTGAGGGAAACACACTGACTCTAATGCAAACAAGGGCAATTGTCGAAACAAGAATAGCAGTAGGGGGGAAGAGTTTAGCTGAACAAAATGAGGTGTTAGGACTTGATGCAGCTTTAAGTTATATAAACAATACATTGCTTGGCCGTGTTGGATCCATTACCCTCAAAGACTTACTAAACATTCACAAGAGGGTTCTGGGATATGTTGATCCCACGGAAGCAGGGGTTCTGCGAGATACTCAAGTGTACGTAGGAGAATTTAAGCCACCAGAGGCTGCTGAACTTCCAAGCCTAATGACTGATTTTGTGGAGTGGTTAAATAACGAAGACACTCTTAAGTTACATCCTGTGGAATATGCAGCTTTAGCACATTATAAGTTAGTTATTATCCATCCTTTTTATGATGGAAATGGAAGGACTTCTAGGTTGTTGATGAATCTCATTCTCATGCAAGCGGGTTTTCCACCAGTGACAATTAAGGTGGAGGATCGCCTCCAGTATTATGAGACTCTAGAGATGGCCAATGCTGGAGATGTGCGGCCATTTATAAGATTTATTGCCGACTGTACGGAGGAGGCTCTCGACCACTTTCTTTTGTCAGCTTCAGGGTCCAGTGCTCTGTTCAAACAATTAAACGGTACACAAAAAAATGTCATCTCCTCCAAAGATGAGTTATGACAAGTCATAAACTTTTAGTTTTATTTTATTATTTTTGTTTATTTATTAATATTTGTTGATGTTGTGCAATTATTTATTATAAATGTTATATGTTTTGCAAAAAAACTACCCCTCAATTAAATGTCTCTTATGTGTAACATTCCTTGTCTGTTGCTGAAGATGAGGTAAACATAAATAACACAATTTTTTTTCTTCCAAAATTCAATTTGCTTAAATACACCATGTAAAGGGGCACATCCTAATGCATTCTTACAGCCTGTGCGCATGTTGTTTGGTCCCTAAGAAGTTATTTAACAAAGAATTTTAACAAATATACTTGTTTCATGTGAAAAACCTCCACTTCGATGCAGAGTTTTTGAAAAGAAAAACAATTTACTGGTCAAGTGGACCAGTGATTTAGTGAAATTCACTGGTCCACACAAATATCCACTGGTCCATCAGCATACATGTTTATTTGAGATTTAAAATTTAAAAATAAACATTCAAAAACTGAAAAATTGTTTTCATTCCAGTTATACATATAATAATTCCGACTACATGTCTCTTTCATCTTTGATTTCTCTCACTATTTCTGATTTTAGGTTGTTTTTTTTTTACCGAATATGAAACGTTTTGCGAAAAACTTATTGTCCTAAAAGTGCTTGAATTTATTCTATCATACATGCACCCAGATTCAACATGTTCAAGCGTATTGATGTTCTCACAAATACGGTCACTCGGACTGATTACATGAAGAAAATTACCGGACTTTTAAAATATTTACCAGTTTTGCCAGTGGGACCGGTGGATTTCAAAAACTCTGCTTCGATGTTGAAACCCCCTATGATACATAACCGAAACCCCACATGTGCCCCTTTACATGGTGAAATAGGTGCCTCTCTCACTAAAGAAGAAATACCTGTTTATTTAACCAAGTTTATGGATGATCAAGCCACATATAATTTGGTGAAAAGATAGGAAAATGTAATTTTACAGTTCTAATTTTGGAAAAGTTTTAAAATGACATGAAACTTTGCTACTATAAGGTTTCAGGGAATATTTTCATGAGTCAATTGTTTTTAATTTTACACAGTTAAAATTTCCTAATTAGCTTTCAACTGAAAGAAATATTGAAAAAAAAAATGCTATGTAAATCTGCTGTGTGGGAGATAAGAAAATTTATTTGTGATATGTATCTTTAAACTGCATTTTTTAGATTAAAAGAGCAAAATGAACACCTATAATTTTTGGTACTTAAATGTACCAGGTACATAACATTAGAATGTAATTAATTGTATCCTTGTATTTTTTTTCTTGTATAAAAAGTACCCTTTATACAAAGCCTACAGAAATCCACTTTTAACTTTACACACTGAGTTATTTACCCCTGCATAATGTTTTAAAATCCTTTCTTGTATAAATTAAACATGTATGTCCTAAAGAATCTCTTGTGAAAGAAATATTTTTGAAAAGATACATGCATGTGGTGGTGCCAACTTATGAAACAAAACTGATGATATTTATGATGTTACAATGTATGTGATACTGCTTAAATACACAGTTTAGAAAACTTCCAAATATGTGTTTGAGCTTCCCTATTTAGGGTATCTTAAGGTGAAGGTTGCAAATATCTGCATGTTTTGTTTTATAAAAACTTGTTGTAACTTAAACTCCTAACCCAAGTCAAAGTGGAAGGCAGTTCTTTAGCAGTTTTTTAACCTTAACAGTTCAGTGCTTTAGCAGTTCTTAGACAGTTTACTAGCCTTCTCCTCTGTTGGTGGCAGAAGGTTTTTGTCATACTGATCATTAGGCAGTTTTCTTAGCAGTCCACAATTTAAGCAGTACTTAGCCAGTTCATTAGCAGTAACTTAGCAGTTGCTTAGCAGTTTCTTTAGCAGTATCTTAGCAGTCAATAGGAAGGCTAAGGAGAACTGCTTAAAAACTGCTTAATAACTGCTAAAGGTGTTTTCTTTTGTTTGCTCTACTTATATGGAAATGACTCTGAGTGACCTACATATAAATTTGAAAATTGATTAACTGCTTAAAAACCGGTAAAAAGAATGCTATAAGTACTATTCTTGTCTACTTATAAGAAGATAACACCACCCATATACATGATATATGAATACAAAAATGCATATAATTTATGCTATTGAAAAAATAACATCACATATGGGAATTTAACTTAGTATTGAGATTTAGATCAGGTATGAATTGTATTAAATAAGTCCTTTCATTAAGTCCATTTTCTTACATAAACGAGTGGCAACTTTAGAGCTTGGTTAATTAATACAGTGGACTAATCTACAGATCCCTCTATCAGTATAGCTTAAATTTATCTGCAAATATTTTGAATTTATACTAAGTACTAATAATTAAAATACAAACTAGATTATACGTTTTATAGTTTAACAGTTATCCAAATGAGAGTGGGGATGACTATATTATATCACAAGCCCACACACTTACCATATTTTCTGAAGCATAATACTTTACTGCCAACAAATCTTTTAAAAATTTTCCTATATCACTCAATTCCATTGTTGCTGAATGCATGTATGATCAGATTTTTATAATAATGATTTCCCATCTCATGGAATTTAATTCAGATACACTTGTCACTAAATATTATGTTCACATCCAATCCTGGATGTGGTGATCACAGATAATTGTATTTTCCAAAGCATATATTTTACTTCTTCACTGTATGGGTATAAATATATATAATATTCCAGACCATCACAAACATCTTCACAATTTGTAATTTTGAACTGATGTGGAAAAGGCGCACAAATCTTGACTGGCTTTCCTCATTGGATACAACCCTTTAGTTTCAAGCAACCAAGGGGGACACAGCAGGTTGTTAATGTAACTAGAGGACTGGATTTGCAAGTTGATGGGATAAAGATTAGAAGCTCATATGCTCATGCTTTTTATAATATGAAGCCTCAATTTATTATAAACTATTGTATCATTTCTAGTAAGATTTTTAGTATATATTTTTTTCTTTCTAATTTTATTTTCTGTATAAGAAACTCCTGCCTGGCCCCCAATTATTTGTGACGTTATCATCAGGAAGCATTAACAGTAACACATGGGCAGTAATGAAGGCTAGTGAAAGTTAGGACCACCAAGAGTGAAAAAGTGTTGAATTACTTCTTATAAGATGTCGAAATGAATTAGTTGCACTTTTAGCAGTTTTGAGAAACTGCTTGTTTGACTGCTTAAGTTTGTTCAATACTGAACTGCTTACACAAATTCTTAGCAGTTTTTTAACCAGTCTGTAAGCAGTTTTAAGGAATGCTAAGACTAAGACTGTTAAGAACTGCCTAAAAACTGCCAAAAAATTGACAGACTGCCTAATAACTGTTTATAAACTGCTAAAATAAGCAGTTCACTTTGACTTGGGAAATTACAAACTAATAGTGACCAACAACCCTATCTAGTATTGACTTATATTCATATCTAGTAAAAACTTGTATTCCTATCTAGTGTTGACTGACATCTCTATCAAGAAATGACCTGCATTCTTATTTTAATAGTAGTGACTTAAATTCCTATCTAGTAGTGACTTACATTCCTATCTAGTAGTGACTTACTCTCCTATCTTATAGTTACTTGCATTCCTATCAAGTAGTGACTTACATTCCTATATAGTAGTGACTTACATTCCTATCTTGTAGTGACTTAAATTCCTATCTAGTAGTGATTTACATTCCTATCAAGTAGTGACTTACATTCCTATATAGTAGTGACTTACATTCCTATCTAGTAATGATTTACATTCCTATCTAATAGTGACTTACATTCTTATCAAGTAACGACTTGCATTCCTATCTAGTAATGATTTACATTTCTATATAATAGCGACTTGCATTCTTATCAAGTAGTGACTTACATTCCTATTTATTGGTGACTTACATTCCTATCTAGAAGTGACTTACATTCCTATATAGTAATGACTTACATTCCTATATCGTAGTGACTTACATTCCTATCTAGTAATGACTTACATTCCTATCTAGTAGTGACTTACATTCCTGTATAGTAGTGACTTAAATTCCTATATAGTAGTGACGTACATTCCTATCTTCCAGTGACTTACATTCCTATCAAGTAGTGACTTACAATCCTATCTAGTAGTGACTTACATTCCTTTCAAGTAGTGACTTGCATTCCTATCTAGTAATGATTAACATTCCTTTATAGTAGTGACTTGCATTTCTATTTTGTCAATACGTACATTTCTATCTAGTAGTGACGTACAATCCTATCTAGTAGTGACTTACATTCCTATCTAGTAATGACTTACAATCCTATCTAGTAGTGACTGACATTCCTATCTAGTAGTGACTTACATTCCTATCTAGTAGTGACTTACATTCCTATCTAGTAGTGACTTACATTCCTATCTAGTAATGATTTACATTCCTTTATAATAGTGACTGGCATTTCTATCTTGTCAATACGTACATTTCTATCTAGTAGTGACTTACAATCCTATCTAGTAGTGACTTACATTCCTATCTAGTAATGACTTACAATCCTATCTAGTAGTGACTTACATTCCTATATAGTAGTGACTTACATTCCTATCTAGTAATGACTTACAATCCTATCTAGTAATGACTTGCATTGCTATCTAGTAGTGACTTACAATCCTATCTAGTAGTGACTTACATTCCTATCAAGTAGTGACTTACATTCCTATATAGTAGTGACTTACATTCCTTTCAAGTAGTGACTTACATTCCTATCTAGTAATGATTTACATTCCTTTATAGTAGTGACTTGCATTTCTATTTTGTCAATACGTACATTTCTATCTACCAGTGACTTACATTCCAATGTAGTGGTGACTTACATTCCTATCTAGTAGTGACTTACAATCCTATCTACTAGTGAGTTACATTCCTCATTGTCACCATAATCAGAACTATAAGTATAAACTGTATCACTTAATTTACAATGTTTGTTTCATAATTTAATTGGATAACTGCAGAAGATACACACACCAATTCACAGTGCCCAGCGGTGATTATTATCATTAAAGAGTTACAGGACAGTCGGAGTAACGACATGGTGTTTTAACAGTAATTTATACATCACAGACTGATCAATTACCCCACAATTTTTATCTGGAGAGCTATAATTACCTCCAAATCAGCTTAAATAAATATGTGAAAAGGCAAAAATTATCAACATGTAAGCAGGGATTTCTTTTTTAAAAAATGAATTTCAAGAAGATTGAGTTCAATTTTACATACTTTCAATTTTTTACGACAAACCGATTACAGATTTTCTTATCGATTGCCATCGTTCCGACCGAGTAATCGGTTAACCGGTTAGAAATTGCCATCCCTAATATATATATATAGAGAGAGATATATAGATATATACATACATATGTAAGACTCCAAACTCCGATGGTGACGCCAAAGTCCGATGGTCTCGCCAAACCCCGATGGTCTGCGCCAAACCCCGATGGTTTGATGTCGGTACGGACGCCAAAGTCCGATGGTCACGCCAAAGTCCGATGGCTCGTTTCCTATGAGACGAGCTGCGCCAAAGTGCGATGGTCTGACACGCCAAAGCCCGATGGTGCGGAGAAACAATTGAACGTTTATGACGTCACAATAATCCAACGTCAATCCTTGACGCCGTTGTCCTGCATTCAAAAGCCATCATTTCTGAATTCGTCCTCACATACAGTTTTATTGATTTTGCTTATTGCTTGCCCCTTCCAGAGATTTTTGGATTAGTCTCCGCACACCATTCGACTGATTAGGGTTAGTGCTTGCTTAGCACCAACCCGGAGATTTAGGGTTAGTCCTCGCACACTAGTCGAGTGATTAGGGTTAGTCTTGTAGTCTTGCACCTACCCAAGATATCTAGGTTATCGTTGTTACACATCTATCGGAGAGATTAGGGTTAGTTTTTGCATAATGACATTTTCTGTGAAGTTGATATACCTATGGATTGACAGAATCAAAGGGCTACATTTGTTATATTATTTTCTTTAGAAAAGGAAGAGACAAACAAATTCACTGTGTAGGAATTTGTAAGTTTTAAAGACCTTTGACCATTATAAGCAAATGTTTGGATTTTCCCTAAGTTACTTCTAGTAACTCAAGTCAATATCGTAAAATATAATTTTGCACGTGATAGCAAGCAAACAAATCAGATTTATTGAATTACATAGTAAAAATAATAATATGTACAGGGTGTTTCATAATAGATGTTACATTTTTAGATATAGATATTTTTCTTACCTTTCATATTTCTAATACCAACCATATATCATTTTAAACATCAAATCCTCCATTTTAATTCCACATGAAAAAGGTAAGGAAATCTTTGAATTATATTGTTTAGTTGTGACAGAAATGCCGCTGTCATTATTTGAATATTATTTTTTTTTTAAATGGACATAACTTATCTACATATTGCTGAATTGTAAAGATGTTTTATCAATACAAATAGCCAGAATTTATTCAGAAGTTGATGAAGGAAAATATTCCAAAAGAAAAGAAGCTTTCTAAGATGCTTATCAGAATGCTTGTAACAAAGTTTAGGACAGGGATGGCAATATGCTAGAAATGACACAATAACCAAGGAAGACTAAGGACTTCATGTGATCAAGAAGGGAAGATTTTCTTGTTGAATTGGGGACTTCAAATAATGCAGCAAACTCCATAGAAAAGTATCAGATAGATGTTTTCAGAAATTGAAGCCGGAAATATCAGCATTTTGTGTGTGTATTGAGCTTTGAAATATGATATGAAGTTATCAACATACAAATTCTCAATAATGCAAAGCCCCAAAGAAAGAGTTTGACCCCCTGCGTTTGCAATCCTTAAGCCTTCTTCTGTAAAGGTTTCTCAAGAACAGGGTCTTCAATCCTAGATCCTAAATACTAAATGAGCTCATAAAGAACATCACATAGAATATGAGGAGTGTCTTACCAAAAATCTGTGACAACAGTTTCATGAGCAACTTTCTTTTGTAGTTGAAATAGGCGGAGATGATAAGGAACATGTAATGTGAGGCTTTGACGTTGTGAAATTCAACGGAACAAAAATGACGCAATTTAGAAATTTTGCTTACTTTCATTAATGGTTGAGATTTTGTTCAGTGTCTAATATTTTGGTTGGTAATTTTACATAATGAATCTAATGGATACCTGCATTAAATTGATGTTAACACTTGTCTGTATCTTTTTCTTGTGTTTGATATTTTGAAGATTCAAAATGTAACATATATAATGAAACACCCTGTGTATATATATATATATATATATATATATATATATATATATATATATATATATATATATATATATATATATATATATATTACATTTGCAATTGTTTTCTTTTATATAACACTATTAAAAGCAACGCGTATCTATATCCGTATAAACACGGGTTCCCCGAGGCGAAGCCGAGGTCAATATTGATATTTTTCTGGTGAATAACAAACCATATTCACCACTGAAAGAGTCCATAACTGTTTTATTATATAGTCAGGATTTGAATGAATCAGACACTGAAGGCTGCATGACGATTCCATTTTCATTAACTACATGTAACTTCTGTCGTAGAAAAATTAAAAAAAAAAATAATGTCCAGATTACTACTTATAACTTGCGTGTTTCCCTTTTGTTGTGTGTAAGACATAGAATTAAATGTTTGGAAAATAATCCTGCGATAAACTTGCCTAAAAATATACAGCTGGCTCCGGCCGTTGCAACCATTGTTTTCAACGTTATTTGAGGTATTGATCGATTGTGACGTCACAATGCCGCTGCACGCGCACTGGTTCTCCGTTGAATACGGCTTCAAATCCAGTGAATATGTAGTATTATGAACTGTTTGCGTTTGTGTAGATTATATAGGGACTATTTATAGACTATATAATAATTGTCAATATTTGAAATAAATAATTGATTTAAATGTAGAAAAGTATAATTTTAACAAATGAAACGTGTATTTATAGTAGCTCCAACTGAGGAACCAGTCGTCTTACAAAAGGCAAGGTAGTCGTAACGGTATACTGTTCAGATTTCAATACGTGTAATAAATTACAATTATCTGCCTGTTAAGAGATATGATTATAATCTTTGATACAATGTAAACAAATATTTCCATAGACAATTTTCCTAGGTAATATTAACTAATTTCCCGATAATGAATATAAAATTCAGGATTATGTACAACCCGAGATAATCAAGTAATTTACACATTTATTCTGAAATAGACCCTTTACAATATTAATTACAGATTAATTCTATCGGACATTCATTCAATGGTCAATTACTTTTATTTTGATAAGTATACTCTTCAAGCCTTTTAGACATTCTTAGATTTCATTTTTGTCCTCGATTCTAGATCCGATCGTATCTAACTAATAAAAACTATGAAAGTACGTTTTGTATTATAAATTACTGAGCATTTTTGTACAATTCTTTAACACCTTACTCAAAACGAAATACATGTAATTTAGTAGATTTATAAGATAAGAAAGTAGTGAAAGAAATTGATCGCTATAGTAAATTAAACTTGGATAATTCCTGCACTGTTCTAATCAAAATTTCGCAGCTAGGTTAAGGACTCCCATATATACGTCAGTCTATGCAGAGGTTCGGTAAAGCTATTATGACGTCACGTTAAAACAATACAAATGAATCTCGATGAATAAATACTATATGTTCTTTTTAAAACACACTAAATACTTTCGTTTACCACAAATATTATAAAGATAAATGGATGTGCAACTTATCTTGCCATAATAGAACTTAGCGTATGTAGAATGAAAGCCAGCTTGATCTCGCTGTACTTACTGAGATGACGTCATTTCTTAGTTTGACACGCAGTTTCTCTGTACTTGAGGCGTGGATCAAGCTTTTATCGTAGCTTGTAAAAATAAAAATAAATACGAAACACGCGTAGTCGGACCAAAAGAGAGAAATATTCTGAAATATATTAATCCACATTTTATTGTCAAACTAAATCGATAATGTGTAGACTTTATATAAAGCCGTAGGGAGCACATTTCTACAGTATCGTGCTAGAATGACAGGTCCAGCCCCTCGAAAATATCAAAAGTTCAACGATATCCGCTTCACTATAAATTCTGAATTTTTAAACACATGTAGCTATTATTCCTACTATTCTGAAAAGTGCTGGGAGCTGGTTGTGCATTGTTTATTTATTCCGTAATGTAACATTATTCCAATGCAAATTACATTTTTGACTGGAGTTTATAGAAAGACGGCTAAGTTTTAAACAATTCCCGGGCATGAGGAAGTTGCTCCCAGCACTTTTCGTGTTAAGGAATTTGTCTCAAAGAAAACAGAACAAATTTTATAGTGTAAAAATGCCCGTATATCGTTGAACTTTTACGATCTTTGTAGTAGTACATATATGTTCTAATTTTAAACCTGTCACGTGACAAACAGCTGATGTAAGCGATGTCGCTTTGGCCGAACTCAGCAGAGACTCGATATATACAAGTGCAAACACCACAAATCACATTTATCAAAACTAATGCTGTTAAAAAAAAAATTAAAATTGTATTCATTTTCCCTGAATATATTACGGCGTATATTTCATGGGCGTCCTTAACCTAGCTGCGTTATTAATCACAGTACTTTTTTTTATGGAATTTGAAAAACACCGAATATTCGAATCTTAAATTCATATTCGAATATCAACTCATCGAATGAATATTCGAATGCATGTTCGAATATATATATATATATATATATATATATATATATATATATATATATATATATATATATATATATATATATATATATATATATATATACACACACACACACTCTTACCACTTTTTCAGGATATCTACCACTAACATAGTAACATAGTATTTATTTTTTCAAAAGATAGAAAACCGGATAATCAATTCAATCTTTATTCAATGACAGTTCTTAAGTTTACATAAAATTAAAGTTTAATAAGAATAACAAAAATCATCAATGCAGTACTCTTTATTATAATGCAACGTTCCAGTTCACCAAAATGACAAAGAAACAATGAAATAGACTGCAAATAAAGACGATCCGATCGTGGAAGAGGTGCTCAGAATGCGAGATCCTGATCCGCTCTGCTGTTGCTGGATACTGGGATTAACAGCATTTTCCCCCTGGGCCCCTTGTTGCCCCTTTTCTCCCTTTTCTCCTTTAGTACCTTTATCTCCGCTAGCTCCAGCAGCGCCCTTGGTTAGACCCCCTTTAGTCCCCTGAGACCCTTGAGCTCCCTTTTCTCCCTTATCTCCCGGACCTGTTGGTGGCTGTGGTCCCGTGATTCCAGCAGTTCCTTTATCCCCCTTTTGTCCTTTCGGTCCTCCATCAGGTATGCCCTTATCTCCTGAAGAACCAGTAGGCCCTAGAGGTCCAGCAGACCCTTTAGGACCGGTGGGTCCTGGTGAACCAGCTGGACCTGTGTCGCCTGTGTCCCCTACATTTCCCTTCGACCCTTTTGGTCCCACAGCGCCTTTTGGCCCTTGGTTGCCTGCCGGGCCTGTTCCACCAGCGGTTCCGATATCTCCTTTAGAGCCCTTTACACCTAAATGTGAACAATCATAATGTGCAGTTTAATTTCAGGTTACGAGAAGCTAGAAAAAGGTCGTCTGGAACGACTTATTAGAAAAGAAAACAAGTATCTCAAAGCGAACTATGTCTTGTTAAAATAGGCTAATGATTGATAAATTAATAAAATAAGAGTTTGAAGTGGGGGTGTCTGAAATTGAGTTAGTTACCTTGTGAACAGAAAAAGTAGGATGTGCCTTGTATACGAAACAAGTGCCTGTGTATTAAATTGCTCAATTCATTTTTTTTTTCAATTCTTAATTTACATCTGGTTTAGAGCTGCATATATACAAATATATACAAACGCAAATAACAGTTATGGTTCAAAATAGACAATATATAAAGAAAAAATGAAAAGATAAAAGTAAATATATAATCAGTTATACTGGAATCAAGAAGGACAGACAGTTTGAAAATTTTCTTAATAAATTTTGACAACGATCTTTGTATTTCTACATTGCTTGTGTTCATTAGTTCATTAAACTTGAAAACGTTAGGACTTTTACAATTTCTATTCTGGAGAAATATTTTTCTGTCGTTTGAGAAGTCCATCACCAAGACTTTAACAATTACAAATGGTGCATGTTAAAGATAACCTCTATTCGCTTAAGGTCATTGGATACCCAACCTCCGGAGAATGGTACACTGTTCCAAAAATGTTTAAATAATCAGTAGAGGGACAGATTCATTTACAATTAGACAGCTCTTGTGCTCGAATTTACTCGTCGGAGATAATTACCGTCTTCCATGGAAGACGGTATACAGAGTTAAAGTATTTTCCAGTCTTCGGACTTTGCACTTCCTCTCTTTTGTGATTGGTAGAAATTACATGATGTGAAAATTTCCAATTGTTTCATTGGTTAAAATGATGTTCAAGGCAAGGGAGATAATCTTCTGGTGATCTAATTTTCGTACGACTTAACAATTTTTCAAGATTTTCAATCTTTAAAAAATGGACAAAACAAACAGTTGAAAATGGCCATAAATAAATCTAAATAACACTTTAATTCTTTATAGCAATTACTAAAAGGCATTGCTATATTTTCAATCAGAAATGTTCTTTATTGCTTTTCAGCTTGTATTTATTTATTCTTGTTTTACACTGTCTTTCTAATCCCTCGACTTTCTCCGTAAACTCCGACCAGCAGCAGAGTCGAAGTTTACGGAGAAAGCCGAGCGTCTGGTTGAACTTTCACATACTAGTAGTAGAGCTAATGTCAATAAAAAGTTGGTGAAGAAATGCTCAAAAATAATACGGCCTAATAGGTGTTAGCCAGTTTACTGTTTAACGTTGTTACTAAAGACGGCCAAGCTTTTGAAAAAGCCCTACTTGTTTGACATTTTACAATTAGACAGCTCCAATGCTCGAATTAATCAACACTTACAATTAGCTCTGGGGCTCCAATTAACTTGTTGAAGATAGTTTTACTTATTGAAAATTAGATGAGATAAATTTAAGTATTTGAGGGAGACACCTTTCTACCTTTGATATTGTTGCAAGCATTACACGCAGTTATGGTGCTTTGTGATGTAGAAAGTGCCTGCTTCACCCCCTCTACTTCACCATTTAGGTAATCAAAGTAGGCGCGCCATTCACTTCCAAATAAAGCAGCTGAATAGAGCGTCATGGAAGCCAAGACCGCAAGGAAGAAAACCAACTTCATCTTATCTGCAAAATAAGATATAGATGTTATCAGCATTATCTAAATTAGAAATAAAAGTCATCATCATCAAAATCAGAAATAGAAGTCAGCCGCATCATCAAAATCAGAAACAGAAGTCGCCAACATCATCAAAATCAGAAATAGAAGTCACCAACATCATCAAAATCAGAAATAGAAGTCACCAACATCATCAAAATCAGAATTCAATGGTGTCATAGATAGCCCATATATTTCCAATAAAATGGAATGTTAATCAGTCCTGTAATTTTACTAAAAGCATGCGCGGATCTAGAGGGGGGGGGGGGTCCCCCTGGATTTGCATAGTAATGAAAAGTATATACTGAAGCAAAGAAAAAATGACTTTGGACCCCTCCCCCCTAGAAAACTTAGACCTCACCATCACTAGTATTGAAAAGTATATACTGAAGCAAAGAAAAAAATGACTTTGGACCCCTCCCCCCTAGAAAACGTAGACCTCACCATCACTACCACGAAAAAGGTGTTCTTTACGTTTGGGAAATAGATTTTAATTTTTTTTTCTTTGCTTGTCAAGGAATTTTTGGTTTGAAATTTTTTTTGACTGGGATGGACCCCCCTGGAAAAAATTCCAGGATCCGCGCCTGTAAATTGCATTAAATATGAAAGAACGGTATTAACTTGGATGTGGCGGGGGGGGGGGGGGTTAAAATTATTTTGGTAAGTAAATAAAAGGAACTATCACCTTTGTACCCAAACCTTTCTCTGCATTTATGATGAATGACGTCATAAATACTCTTTATCACATGACAAGCGCTGTTGTCTTTATAATATATCAAATATGATGCAGGGTTTCATTGGTAAAACAAATTCTGTAAGAAACATGCACTTGACGTTTTAAACATTTTCTTTATATATGAAAATATGCCATTCTATAATCAGAATGTTGTTATTACTCGTATAAAGAAAAGATTTAAAACCTCAAGTGTCTGTGGAAACAGCGCTATTTTGAAGGAAACTAGAAAGAAGGCAAATTCTTCATCTAGTTAAAAAGTTCATTTTACATTAATCGACCAAAGACAAAGGGCACCTCCGTTCTTCCTCAGAATGTATTTAACCAATGAGAGATATAATATTATTATGAATAAATTCAAAATCCCTTCTATATATCATGCTAAATATAATTTCAAAGAATTTGTCTTACTGAATTAGAATAGACTTCCCTTTCCGTGCTAACAGCTGATGTGGACAGAGCTGATGAACGCCTAGTGACTGGTTTTCTGAGGATTCGGATGTTATATTATCTTAGGTATGATGTAAGGATCGTCAGCCTCCGGCTCCTTGGCATGCTTTCATTGTGTAAACCCGACATGCTCTCTATACCGGAACCTGATGCAATCCGATAAATCTTATTCTCCGTTACGATTTAAAAACAAGCTCTCAATTACAAAAAAAAATATATCTATATATGCATGGTTTACCATTTACTTTATTTCTTAAAAAGTTAGAAAACTTCTCTCTGAAATCTGAAAATAAAGAAGTTAATGACAAGATTTGTTAAATACGTAATATATAAGATATAATTAACAGTCAAGATTATTCATTGGATTATTTAGATACCCAACATCCAGAGAAAGTGTGCTTTTATCACAGCTTCTTGTATTACGTGTTGTTTTTTAATTTTAATTTATTTGGTACATAGTAAAATTATATTTATGTTTAAAGTATTTTCAATTTTTTCATGCATACACTTTTAAAGTTATCCTCAATATCTGTCATTAGAATTTGATAAACCTTCAGTATCTGCTTAATTTTCTGTTTGTTCTGTTCAAGTCAAAGTCCATACCTGCATTTTCCTTTCCATTCCCCAAAATATCACTCACTAGATTGTATTATAATCCGATGTATTAAAGTGTACCTGATACTCTACCTGAGTGAAGTCATATATGACTTTAAAAGGCTTAATTTCAAATTCAATAAATTAGATATTAGTCGCTACTGTTCGTCTGAGGTCTGGAAAAAATAGTTGTGAATAACAGGTAAATTAATATAAGGAGATGTTTAGAAGCACTACAAAATAAAGATACGCATTTGTAAGCATTTCATGTTTGAAATCCTTCAGCAAAAGAAAACTCCTTTAAATTGTATTTGATTCCTCGTCTTTAAATAACATAATGTTAATTTTGGTTTTATATACACAATATCGTATCAATATAAAGATAAATATTAAACACTTATTTTGAAAGACATGAATCCTGTCACTTTGGAATTCAAATGCTTAGGAGTGTACTTCATTAAGAACGACTTAACGGGCATCAAACTGCATGGCTGATATTTTTTTTTCATACAGAAATGTATTTTTGCAAATATCGATTACACAAAGTGTGTTTAGACATCAGATATATGTTAAAAAATTAATTAAAATATAGATACATATTATATAGGTATTACAGTAGTTCGAAAAATCTGACGTTTTCAAGGTTTTTTTTCACGATTTTGATATTTTACGTGCCAGGAAAACGTCAAAACCGGCGCCATTACGAAAACTGGAAATTTCGTCGTCTCCAATAGGAGTTGATTTTTACGGAAGCCGGTAGGTACCAGGTAGAAAAATATTTTATCTGGCGGCCGCCAGATAACTTTCTGGCGGCCGCCAGATAACTTATCTGGCGGCCGCCAGAAAGTTATCTGGCGGCCGCCATATAATTTCTGGCGGCCGCCAGATAATTTATCTGGCGGCCGCCAGAAAATCATTTGGCGGCCGCCAGATAACTTTCTGGCGGCCGCCAGATAATTATTTGGCGGCCGCCAGAAAGTTATCTGGCGGCCGCCAGATAAAATATTTTTTCTTCCTGGCACCAACCGGCTTCCGTAGATTCTCCATACCTCGGAACCGAATTAAATGCCGTTGTCACAATTTATCAATAGCACAATGCTACTAGGACTCGACAATATCGATGAAAAGAAAACATCACTTATCATTTCGATGCAGGACTTGAAAACTTTTAAAATGCACGAAATGAAAACAAATCTCTACAGTCAAATAAAATGTTTCCATTGGATTGTATATTTTACAAACAAACCATAAAAACGATGTTGGTGAGTACTAGAAGCATTGTACTATCGATAAATTGTGAGTTTGACATTTCATTTGCTTTGCAAGTATCGAAAATCAACCTGAGAATGCCGCCTCTGGTTGGAGGCGGCGAATTCCCAGTTTTCGTAATTTCGCCGGTTCTGACGTTTTCCTGGCACGTAAAATATAAAAATGTAGTAAAAAAGCCAGGAAAACGTCAGATATTTCGGACTTGTATTACAGTAGTTACTTGCATTGAAAAATACACATGTACGTTATACACATGTAGTTTGTATGTTACGGTACATGTAGCTTCATATATATGAAAGGCTGATCCAGCATCGGCGCGCCGGTCGTACCCCCCCCCCTTTCCGTTAATTTAAACTAATATCGATCTTTCCATACTTAAGCCATATATCAGAGGAGATGTCTTAAAGATCGGTTAAATAAAATTTCCGTGAACATGTAAGTAGCATTCTTTCTTAAACAGGAAAAATCTATCGATCATATGTCATTTTAAATAAATTTTGCTTTAGATACTTTTAATTTAATTTAGTTTTAATCATCATTTCAAAGCATTAATTTTAAATATTATAACAATAAATAATTTCAAAATCTTTTTAAGTTTGTATCATAAAACTCAATCACAATATACATGTAATTTATTTTGGTAAAAAATCTATCAAGAAGAGTGAGATACGATTATATTTGAAAGAAAAATCATTTTGAATTTTACCCCCCCCCCCCTAACTTTAGATATTGCTTCCAAACAAAGAGGTAGCAATGGTTTAAACAGTGGGAGAAGGGGCAACCCCCAGAGAAATCTAACAAATAAAATTTAAATAATTAAAAAAAAACCTTGAAAATCCTATTTTGTGTGTTCGTGTGTGGGGAGGGGTGGACTTTCTCTGTTTGTAGATTTTTTTTTCAAGTGCTGGAATATTCGCCAGCGCTCGACCTTACAGCAAAGGAGTGTTAGAGGGGGCAACATCTAAATGAAAATTTACATATTAGATCTAGAGGAATAGACTATACTACAGGAAAAGAATGCCCCCTCCCCCCTTTTCGTTCTATGGACCTGTAAATGCGATGTGAAAAAAGTTCTCCATGTTTAATATAGATTAAACAAAGCTTAAAATGTTAAAATGTGGTGTAAGTGATGCTTCAATTAAGTGCCAAGTGTTAGGTTAAAAAAAGTTATGCTTAATTGAAAATAATTTATAATAAATTATTTATTACATGTACATGTACATGAAAAAATATTAAATTGTTTAGTGCCTTCAATTATAGCAAGTATTTAATCAATAAATCTATGCTTTAGTACACAGTTTTATCAGTAAATATTACATTTTTGATTTTGACTACTTTGTTCAATCAAGGTAACACAGGTAAACTCTACCTGGACCCCTTAGAGGGCCTCTTAATTGAGTGTGATAATTAAATAGTTGTTTTAGCCAGTAGACGTTCGGGGAATAAACCGTATATATATGTGATAACAGGCCCGTAGAACGCGAGGGGGCTGCCCCCTTTTTTCTGAGTATAGTATTTTGCTATAGTAAATTTTCCTTTAGATGCCCCCCCCCCGCACTTTTTGATAAAATTCCATATTTTTATTATTATTATTATTATTATTATTACTTATTTTTATTTTTTGTTTATCAGATTTTTTTTTTTGGTGGGGGGGGGGGGAGTTGCCCCATCCTCGCCCCCACCCACTTTTGAAACCGTTGCTACGGGCCTGTTTAATGATCTCAAGATTCATTTTGTTTTAACGTTTAATAATCTGGTTTTGATCGGGTATTAAGCATGTTTAATCCTCATGCTCTCCAAGATATTGATTGTTAAGATAACTAGTATGAAGTTTCCAAGATCGACTTTTACCACAGGCCATGACTAAAACCAAATCTAGTACTGTCTGACGCCGAAACGTCAGTCAACAACACGGATATCAAAGTACCACAGAACAAATAACGGGAAAATGGTTTAAAATGGTTTTTAACAAATTAAGAAGACGCTTGTAACTGAATAAATTTTCTTTTTTCAGCTTTAAATGTTCAAGTGAATTTTTTTTCCCATTCGATCATTCAGACAAATTGGTCCTTAACTATAAGAGGTAATCTGAAATCAAATTGATTTGAATAAACAGTATTAAACATTGGCATGTACATGTAGTATTTAACCTTGAATGCTGTTCAGTGAATCATCCTTACTGAAGAAAAACATCTCATATTACGTAAAATCTAAAGACAACAACAACAAAAAAAAAAAAAAAAAAAAAAAAGAAAAAGAAAAAAAGAGGAAGAAAAATACAGACTTAATTTTTCTATGTCTTGTGTGTAAAGTTCCTTGATTGATCACTTAAAAATGTATTGATACAAGGCTTGAAATTTTCAACTTTATTTCAACTTTTCGGATTTTTTTTTTTTTTTTTTTTTTGTCTTTTAAGCGCCCCTATTGTTCAATCTGAAAATTATGGATTTACATGTGAACTTAGAAAATTAATTTTAATTCAAGGCTATAACCATGTATATGTTTACTAAGTGATTCATTTTTTCTTTCTTTTTCAATCATTATAGATATCATTATTGTCATGGAACATTTAGTGTGTATATATACATTAATGAAGACATTTTTAAAAATCTACTACAAATGGGGGGGGGGGGCTCGTGTTTTTATTTCTAGAATGGATTCTTTTTATTTGTATATAACACGAAGTTATGTATAGCAAACATGGCTCAAATGAAGGTCGATTTGTTTTTTGTATGTAACGTTGTTATGGCAGAATTACAAGCTCCGGATCACGGTATCGTTATAGAGGAGACTTCCGGCGGGGCGGCCTCCAGACGGATTTCCACACACGATGATTACGTCCATCTTACTTTATCAGACTTTATTAATGCGGAGAACAATTATTCTCCCTTCAGTAATTTACTTCGATGTGTTGTCAAGTCCACGGATTTTCGTAGGTAAGTATTTTGTGCATAAAGGTACTTGTATCCGTAAGGGTATTTAGACAAAGTGAAATATGTGGAATACAGTTGCATGGCTCATATCAACCATACTTAATAATGTCTGCAAAACAGTAAATGAATGTTGAGGCAAACAAAATAAATCATTAAGAGTTTTCTTCGTAGGCTTTATTTTTACAGACTAAGTTGTATAAATACCAATTTTATTTTGTTTAATCCAGCAAACTCGCCGACAACATGAGAGTTATTCTAGCCGTGGTCCTGTTTGTGACTTTGATATATCCGGCAAGTGGGGGATGGTATGATTGGGTCGCGTTTTACAACTATCTGTACAACGAAATATCGGGAGTAAAAGCTGAAGTCATCACGCTTCAAAATTCTCACGCCACCTGTACATGTACCCCGCCGGCAGGTAATGGAAAAAGTTTAATCGACATAATATCATTTGGAGGCAGTACCTTTACTTTAAATAAATCTTTAACACTATATTGAAATGAAGTTTTGCGGGCATGACATGTTGCAGTCTTAACTTTCAAGACATGTATCATCCTCACAACCTCCGGGACCCTGTGTCAACTCGTCCCACGGCAACTTGTTGATACATGTATCTGAAACAAAGAAATTGAATTGCAAAACTATTTAAACTTGATTAACTGAGCCACAGGTATAGACTACGTATGGTAGCTTTTGTTTGGTTAAAATTAAAAAAGAATACAACTAGGTGACAGGGGCGTAGCTTGACTTAAAATTCTAGTGAGGCACAACTATTGTGGCCGGGGGTCTGGGGGCCGGTCCAGGGCGGAGCCCTGGTGGGAGGTTCGGGGGGGGGAGGGGCAAAACCCCCCGACGGAAAATGAATTTAGGAGTGTTGAATGTAAAAAACATACTTGTCCTGGACAGAAATTTCGTAATTTTACTGGTTTCATTATTGAAGACTTCAGCGTACATATGATGCTTCATATTTCAAAAGTATTTAGTAGAGTGCATAAAATTCTTTATTCAAACTTCTAAGGTTTTTATTTTTTCCACATAAACTACTTTGAAAGAGCCCGATCTCATGAATTTTGATCCCGAACATATTGATATGAAAGTACAACATTTTATAGATTTGTTTAAGGCGGATGTGCTGAAAAAATCTAGTGAGGCAGTTGCCTCATTGCCACAATGGAAGCTACGCCCCTGGGTGAGAGAGAGAGAGAAAGAGATTGGTTGCTTTTCTCATCACACGAATTCGTTTTTTCTTATTTTGGGATTTTTTTTAACCTCCAATAGCTTTTTTAAATCTGGGCATTCAAGCACTCTTGAAATTAGTATTAATCAAAGACAATCTTTTATTTTATTTTCTTATGTGTGTATTAATTGTGTTGTAGTTGAATTTTGGAGTTTGAATTGAAAGCTTCTATTAAATGTCAAACATTTCAATATATGAATTTAATTATTTCTCGGATTGTTTTGGTATATAAACGTGAATGAATTGTTAAACTTCTGCATTTAATGACATAAGCAACGTAGTTTGAACTTTATGGTCTTTTTCCCTGGAGTTGAAGAGTTCCGATACTTAAAGGAACTGTGTGCTACATTTTAATGTCTATATATGCTGTTGTACACATTTTCTAAAACAAGTTTGGATAAACAAAACATCTAGAATACATGTTTAGTAACTTTTGTATATTTTTCTTTGAATTATACAAGAATTTTCATCAATTGATATCTTTTCAAAACCCCTGGTAATTCATGCTGATTTTTTTGTCTACGAACATCTGATGACACTATAATCTTAAATTAAGATTATCTTGAAAATTATCATTAGGTAAGGTACGTTGCGCATGTCCTTAATTTTAAACAAAATTAGTTCAGGGTGCAAAGACCAGGTTACAACATCTATCTATTCATTTCACATTGATAGATTGGGCTCAATCTTCTTCACTTACTCCTTTTCAATAAAAATATTTATTTTTTTTTTTTTGATTTTTCTTTTCTCAATTGACAGCTGAGAAGGGGGACTTAGGTCCCACAGGGCCAGCTGGAGGCAACGGCCCACAAGGGGCGTCTGGGGATGTTGGTGCTCAAGGACCACAGGGAGATAAGGGTATAAAAGGAACTAAGGGATCGGCGGGGCCTAGTCTCCCGGGCCCTCCAGGTCCCCTAGGTCCTCCTGGTCCAAAAGGAAATAAAGGTACTAAAGGAGATCCCGGACCTCCGGCAGATAAAGGTGTCATGGGTCCTACCGGGCCAACAGGTGATACAGGAGACGCTGGAGAGAAGGGAGATAAAGGAGCAGTTGGTTCTGGAGGAGGTGTGGGTCCTGTAGGACCTGCAGGGGAGCCTGGTCCTGCAGGGGCTAAAGGAGACACCGGTGATAAGGGACAAAAGGGAGAACTAGGCCCTAAAGGCAACAAAGGCGAACCTGGAGTCATCAGTGGTTAATGAAATAGCGCCACTCACGTGCGCTCTCTGCGCCACTGATTTAACAATCCTTTTTTTTTTTAATATGTATATATTAGAGACGGATTTCAGATCAAAGGAGTATTTCTGCCGAGAGCACTACTTCATTTTGTTGTCTTATCAATAAAACAATCATTCCAAATGAATCGTTTATCCTTTTCTTTGAATAAAGGAATTGTGAGTATAGGAGGTGATCTCTGACCGACAGATGGTTAACGAGACTTTCCCAGATACATAGTTATGTATTATGTATTGCAGTTCGACAACAGCATTTACCTTCTGACATTGTCGATAGTATACTGTAAAATGTTTTATTGTTGTCATTTTATGAAGAAGAAAAAAGAACCACGGTGTCCAGAAATAAATATTTATGAAAAAAAGAAATACTAGTTGTAAAATGTTAACTCTTTCGTTTTAAACTCTTCTACTGATGAATTTAGAATGAAAGTGCTAACCTTTTACAAATAGCGTTGTCATATATATATATATATATATATATATATATATATATATATATATATATATATATATATATATATATATATATATATATATATATATATATTAGTGTTGTCAACGAGTACCCGGTTAACCGTCGAACGATGCGAGTATCGGTTAATAAAACTGCTACTCGGATATATAGTATTTTACATAGTAAATCAGCAGGATAAAATGTATTTTTGTTTATAAAGTCCAAATTTTATTTACCGTTATTCAACGTAAGTCTCCGATCTGATTAAAATCAGCTGTTCTGATACGCTACTGTAAGCGGTAGCGTATCAGAACAGCTGATTTTAATTAGATTGTGTAAGTCTCGATCTCGCATTTTGCAAATCGGTCTGTTTTGATTAGTATTTCACAGTTTATCTAATTGATGGCTTTGATTGCCAAGGATATAGTTTTGAGGACTTGAGTTCATTATTATTACCTCACATAAACCTATGCTTGTCCGCATTACAAGATTAAAGGAGATGCCGCCACATGCATCAAAAGCACGGAAATATTTTAAAAGAATGACTAAAATTACGTCTTTGAGGTGTAAAATATGTGAAATGGAATGAACATATAGGAATGGGGCAACAAATATGCTAAGCCACTTAAGACTGAATTTAACTCTGAAACTTATGAAAAGGACATCTCGCAAAACAACCATTTATTATGGGTATTCGAGAACGATTTTATTTAGAAGACAAGTCTGGCTTTCCAGAAAGCCTGAAATGTCATCTCTTTGGCTTCATTAATGTCACAGAATAAACAGTGGAATGTAACATTTTTTCCTCAGCTATTACAGACAGAAGAACTTTTTTCAAAGGGGGGGGGCACAGAATAAACAGTGGAATGTAACATTTTTTCCTCAGCGATTACAAGCAGAAGAACTTTTTTTCAAAAGGGGGGGGGGGGCACAGAATAAACAGTGGAATGTAACATTTTTTCCTCAGCTATTACAGACAGAAGAACTTTTTTTTCAAAAGGGGGGGGGGCACAGAATAAACAGTGGAATGTAACATTTTTTTCCTCAGCGATTACAAGCAGAACTTTTTTTCAAAAAGGGGGGGTAGTCAGAAAAAAAAAATACAACTTACCTGAATAATCTTTCACTAGGAAAAAAGGGGGTGTTCAAACTCGAAATTCTTATTTCGTGGATCGGAGGGAAGATTTAAACTTTTTGACTCTCTCGAAAACACATTTGGGGGGGGGGGGGGGAGTACATGTATGAATATGCTGCAACAAAAAAATGTGGGGAAGGTAGAGGCAAGCTGCCTTTCAGTAAATATTTGCAACAGTAATTTCAAATATTTTTTGTATATGTGTTTAAAAAATGTAACCACTGAGCAGTATTCGTAAAATTTGTAAACAATTGAACAATTGTTATACAAGAGGATGGGTAAAACCTTAGCGTTCTTATTGACTTTACATCACAGCAGCTTACTCGGACAACAGCCAAGAAGTTTAATGCGCTAACTTGAATTAGTACGGTGTCATATAGTGAGACTCCCACCCCCATAGTGAGATTTCCCCCGGAAATATGGCTATATATAGCGGTAAGACTCCCCGATGGGGGGGGGAGAATTACTATATAGTGAGTCTTCCCCCCTAAACGACCATAGTGAGGCTTCCCCCTTCCATGTTCAGTAGTATTTTATTTACATCGACGATGTATATATATTTGCATTTTGATAATGATCTTATAAAATAGATACATGTATGAATAAATATAGAAGTGCGCATTAAAAATTTATCGTGCACAGTAAATAATTGAATTGTTCCAAAATGATTCTTATCAAAAGAAATACATTTAACATTTAATAGATCATTACTCGTGGACTCTTGGAATTTGCTTATGTTAACCTTCATGGGGAATGCAATAAATACAATATAGAAAAGAAAGATGTATACTTGTAACAATAACGTACATTTTTCATTCAGTTATCTCACATCAATATACATGTGCATGTCATCCCATAATTATTTTTGGCTAACAAACTGTTAAAAGGCTATTAAGATGTTTTAATTATTAATTAACGGAGAGCTTTTATTCATATACTGAAAAATATTGTTTTACAATGAAATAAAATATTCCGGAAACTACATTTGAGGGGAAGTCTCACTATGAAAGGGGGGAGAGACTGGCTATATAGTGAGACTTCCCCGGGAGAAGTCTCACTCTATTGCCAGTCGATCTTCCGGGGGGAAGTCTCACTATATAGCCAGTCTTCCCGGGGTATATCTCACTATATAACCAGTCTTCCGGGGAAATCTCACTATGGGGAAGTCTCACTATACGACACTGACCCTCAATTGATTTCGAAAGATTTTCCACTTTTAAATATATGGTTTATCCAAAGAAATAACCCTCACATGCATCTAAATATAGGTCAGTAATAAAATTTACACGGTATAAGCTAAAATTAGGCATTTACAAATTATCTGAAAGAGTACCAATTTACCAACCCTGATATGTAATTAGGCTGTTCAAGGAAACAATCATTTTATATAATAATATTTCAAGAATAAGAGAAGTGACTTGATAGCTTTTTTGCCACTAACCAATAATGCAATTTAAAATTACACAAAGAAAATGATTGCAGATGCTATAATTATAAATTCTCAAAATACGAGTCGGGTAAAGAAATTGCGTCTTTTATACAAAGGTAACAATATTGTATTTCTGACATTTATTTTTTATAGAGCAAAAAACAAAGAATAGTGCAGACATGCGTAAAAATTCACAATGATTATATAATCTTTCTTCCAATGCCTGTAGTTTTAACATTAACTATTTGTTTTAAAAAAGATATTTTAAAAATGGCATCAGGTTATTTAATGACTAAGATACACATAAAAGTAAAATTTTCGACATAAGTTCACATCAATCGTATTTAAACTTTTAATGCGAGTATTTACTTTGATTTGTTTTTCTGTAAATTCTTAGATCCACGCCTTGGCTGATCTAATCGATGCCATGTAAAGTGTACTTTGATACACACGCACTGGCCATCATTTACCGTACGTAACAGCCTAGATAACTGCATGTTATTTGAAGACCCGCCACTTTGTTTTTCTGTAAATACTTTGATCCACTCCTTGGCCGTTCTAATCGATGTCATGTTTAGTGCATTCTGATACACACGCGCTGACCATGATTAGATAACTGCATGTATTTTGAAGACCCACCACTACCCAAGCGATATTGTCTCTGTATGGCATGTCAAATGTTGCAATATTCGATCTTTTCCATTTGTATTGTATAATTTTCTATTTGTATTGTATAATTTTCCATTTGTATTGTAAAAGTTTCCATTTGTATTCTATAATTTTTCATTTGTATTCTATAATTTTTCATTTGTATTCTATAATTTTTCATTTGCATTGTAAAATTTTTATTTGTATTCTATATTTTTCATTGGTATTCAATAATTCTTCATTTGTATTGTATATTTTTTTATTTGTATTGTATAATTTTTTATTTCCATTGTATAATCTTTATTTGTATTGTATAATTTTCAATTTGTATTCTTTAATTTTTCCTTTGTATTGTATAATTTTTATTTATATTGTATAATTTTCCATTTGTATTGTATAATTTTCCATTTGTATTGTATAATTTCTCATTTGTATTGTAAAATTATAGAATACAAAATGGAAATTTATAGAATACAAATGGAAAATTATACAATACAAATGGAAAATTATAGAATACAAATGGAAAATTATAGAATACAAATAAAAATTATACAATACAAATGAAAAACTATACAACATAAATGAAAAATTATTGAATACAAATGGAAAATTATACAATGCAAATAAAAATTATACAATACAAATGAAAAAATATACAATACAAATGAAATATTATAGAATACAAATAAAAATTTTACAATACAAATGAAAAATTATAGAATACAAATGGAAAATTAAAGAATACAAATAAACATTATACAATACAAATGGAAAATTATAGAATATAAATGGAGAATTATAGAATATAAATGGAAAATTATGCAATACAAATGGAAAAGATCGAATATTGCAACGTTTGACATGCCATAGTATGACTCTCTGATTTATGTGTAGTTTTTCTTTTTTAAGATGGCCTGTTTGACAGATCGTCCATTCTTTGTCATTGAGCAGTTTTGTTTACATCTCTATATTTAGAAATCGTGTCATTTGCCAGACCACCAGATTATCAATGGCAGCTTACACTGGGGCTTCATATCCGGGGTTACAAACTTAATGTGTCATCTCTCGAGAGAGATGACAATAATGTCTGCTCGTAATTATAAATAAAATTCATATGCAGTGCATTTGTGTTTTGTATACACATATTATACAAGTATTCAAAATGATGAGATAAATATAGAAAGTGTAACGACATTATATGCAATGTATATTATAGCTACTACCGCGAACAAAAATGTTCTAGATCAAAAGAAAATCCATCCG